TGAAATCCAAAAGCCCAGTCTGTCTGCACTGTTGCCCAGCTTATAAAATGTCATTTAAAGACAAAGCACAGAGTGCTGAACAAAGTATCATGTTTTTTTCCATTTTGTCTCAAATCCTTGAGACATCTGATGAGACTGGTATGTAAATCCACAACATTCAAGTACTTTTCTCCATACTAGACCTTTAATCAAAGAATAATTGTTTGCTTTAATTTTCGTCTAGTGATCTACCTTTGGTTGTTGACAATCTGTAGCCCAGTTTCATATTGTACAGTCTAATAATAGTTACCCCTGGTATAATTTTTTAATGCTCATATACTAGTCTTAAATTAATATAATCTGTGATAATCTAGTCCATCGTTTTGTAGACTATTACTTCATAAGTTGGCATTGTCACGATATGGCTGAAATACTGCCGATGTGACTTCACATTTTAACTCACTTTGATTATACTGATCCACAAACTACAGTGAGTGAGTGAGTGAGTGAGTGAGTGAGTGAGTGAGTGGGTGGGTGAGTGAGTGAGTCGGTGAGTGAGTGAGTGAGTGAGTGAGTGAGTGAGTGAGTGAGTGAGTGAGTGAGTGAGTTGGGTGTATCACCGCTCTAACAGTATTCCAGTTATATCACGGCATGTCAGCTTAACGTGGGGACAAGGCCCAAAGTGATGCAGGTCTGCACAGTGAATTACATAGTCTTAGACGACGGGGTCACTCTGGCCCCCAGTGTAGACCATGGGTGAACATCAATCGATGTCATCAGTTTCTGATGACATCCTAAAGTCAGGCTTTGGTTGAGAGCCCCTTTGCCAGAATGCCACCTTTCAAGCATAGTCTCTCCTACAAGTCAACCAATCCTCACTTTAAAGGTCTGGCGAAACGTCTCCCAAAGCCTCATAATGAAGAGTCCCATGACGCCTTAGTTTTCAAAACCACCAGATGGTTGGGTTCACCACCACAAACTTAGAAGCTGCAGGCCCTGACTAAACTCTTCAGGCCTTCATTTAATAATCTGCAGCTTGTGACAAATAAATCGACATATAAATTTACTGCAGGCCATAAGGACCCATACAAATTTGATACTACAGCCCCAACACTAAATCTAACTGCCACGGGCCTATGGGCAGGTGCTTTTGTTAACACTGTGTTCAAACATGAGCTGCCTCTGAGCATTGAAGTCAGGAACTGTGGAGAGTCCAGTTAGGGAGTCCAGTTAGGGAGTCCGGTTAGGGAATCCGGTTAGGGAGTCCGGTTAGGGAGTCCGGTTGGAGAGTCCGGTTAGGGAGTCCGGTTAGGGAGTCCGGTTGGAGAGTCTGGTTGGAGAGTCCGGTAAGGGAGTCCGGTTGGGGAGTCCGGTTGGGGAGTCCGGTTGGGGAGTCAGGTTGGAGAGTCTGGTTGGGGAATCGGGTAAGAGAGTCCGGTTAGGGAGTCCGGTTGGAGAGTTTGGTTGGGGAGTCCGGTTGGGGAGTCCGGTTGGAGAGTCTGGTTGGAGAGTCTGGTTGGGAAGTCCGGTTAGGGAGTCCAGTTGGGGATTCCGGTTAGGGATTCCGGTTAGGGATTAAAGTTAGGGAGTCGGTTTAGGGAGTCCAGTTAGGGAGTCTGGTTGGAGAGTCCGGTTTGGGAGTCCGGTTGGAGAGTCCGGTTGGGGAGTCTGGTTAGGGAGTCCAGTTAGGGAGTCGGGTTAGGGAGTCAAGTTAGGGAGTCCAGTTAGGGATTCCGGTTAGGGAGTCGGGTTAGGGAGTCGGGTTAGGGAGTCGGGTTAGGGAGTCCGGTTAGAGAGTCCAGTTAGGGATTCCGGTTAGGGATTCCGGTCAGGGATTCCGGTGGGTATTCCAGAAGAGGATTCCAGCTGGGGGATCTGTTTGGGGATTGTTGGGGATTTCAGGTCAGAAAAGACCCTCTGGATCCTCTGGTGGCATTGTTGACTGGAGACTTAAACAAAATATACTGTCTGTGTCTTTCATTGTGAATCATTGTTCATGAATCCAATCACTGTGATAAAACAAGACTATTTCTGCCCGGGACATAAACACCACTCACTCACAGACTATCAAATTACTTGAACTGAATCATTTTCCAAGAATTGGTAAAATTGTCATTTGTCAGATAGATCACATCCAATGGCTGCAATACCTGGCTTCTAGGCTGTCTCCATGCACAATTACAGGATATCTATCTTCCCACAGCCTCCCGCCACATCCCTCCATGGGCAACTTGATAGACCCAGGAACCGCAGTGGAAACACCACTGTAAGCATTATTACAATAATAATCATGTGTTATCTTCCCATAATTTGCTTGCATAGCTGGAAACTTGTTGACAACAAAGAGCCTCTTGACTTGACTATCTTAATTAATGGTTTATTTCCCTTTGATAGTGAGCCATATTTCAATGCAATAATTAGCAGATAAATCTCCTGGGTTCTCAAAATGTTGTTGGTGACCTTGATTTGCTGATAACAGTCCACAGAGGTGAACACACAGTCGGTTATCTCCTACATACAGATCACAGACGTACAGAGGTTTCAACTTATTCACACAACTGACATATGTTTTGAAATTAATTCTTATTTTCATTTGTCAGCATATACGATAAAGAGCTACCATCTCTTCAATGGTTGGTTTGTTGTTAAACGCCGCACTCAGCAATATTCCAGCTATATGATGGCGGTCTGTAAATAATCGAGTCTGGACCAGACAATCCAGTTATTTGACAACACGAGCATCGATCCACGCAAGATGTGTGGACATAATGATAACTTCGAACCATGAATATCTATACCCAGTCTCCGAAATAACTGCCTGCCCGCCTGCCCGTGGCTGGTAACTTTTCTGTAAGGCTGCATGAAATTTTCCTTCACCTTCCCGACTGTCTGGCAGATAATTTTAGCTCAAACTATACACTGATAAATAGAAGGCAAAATAAACAAAAGTGAGTGAGTGAGTGGGTGGGTGTGTGGGTGCGTGCGTGCGTGCGTGCGTGCGTGCGTGCGTGCGTACGTGAGTGAGTGAGTGAGTGAGTGAGTGAGCCCCAGACTATGACTATATCACTGGCTGTAGCTGGCAATCTTGCAACTTCATCTTCTAGGCACCATGAGTGAGTGAGTGAGTGAGTGAGTGAGTGGGTGGGTGTTTGGTCGGGTGATTGAGCGAGTGAGTGAGTGAGTGAGTGAGTGAGCCCTAGACCATGACTATATCACTGGCTGTAGCTGGCAATCTTGCAACTTCATCATCTGCCCCGAGTGAGTGAGTGAGTGAGTGAGTGAGTGAGTGAGTGAGTGAGTGAGTGAGTGGGTGAGTGGGCGTGTGTGCTTGGGTGTGTGTGTGGGTGAGTGAGTGAGTTTGTTAGTGAGTATGGCTTAAACATAAATGATGCAGGTCCTTCATATCTAACCCTTTGGTGAAACCACAAGTATGGAGATGACATCCTCCAAGCAACATAGACAGGGTGAAATGTCAGGGTTTGTCACTTTGTGTGCACCATGTACTACTGGGCCAACCCTGCCATCCAGCTTTTGAGGTAATATTCAATCTGGAAACTGCAGGAATATGTACAGTGAACCTTGCTTAATCAGAACACTTCCATTCCTGGACAAATTGTCTGGATTAACAAATCTACAGGTAATCAAATGAAGAGTGAAGTGTTTTGTCAGCAGTCAGTCCTCAAGTTACAATGTTGTAGTATAAGGTGTTAACAGCTGAGTCAGGCCAGAGACACAGAATAACCTGGCCAATGAACCACACTAACCACTACTGCTGTTGACTGACAGCTATGTTAACACCGGTCAGCTGGGGAACCACATGGCTACCGGTGTTAGTGTTCACTGGGCTGACTGACCATCCAAGTGAAAGAACAAACTAATTTTCCTTATATTTCAGCTCCAAGGTATGAAAGTCTGAGGACCATTTCTGGATGAATTCACCCATAATGGTGCCAAATAGTGTCTGCACAAACAGGATTTCTTTATTTTTCTGTCGTTTAATGCAGCACTCAGCAATATTCCCGGCCTGTTGATAATAGAAACTGGTTCCTGCCCCACAAAGATTTGGTAAATTTTCTAATAAATTGTATATTTATATACTTATCCTATCTCACACTATGCATTTCCTCTAATTCCTCGATCTTGGTGTGGAAACGTCCTAGAACAAAGTTTCCAGCTTCAAAAACCCCACTCACCCAAACACATCCCATACATCACCAAATCACCACTGTGATCATGGTTCACGCACCACTAAAATCCCGTGCAACACAACCCCGGCGACCTGATCACCTGACATATCCAGCACCCTCATTCTCAATTCTATCACTATGGTGTTCGGACGTTATTCTTGGACAGAGAATTTTTTTATTTTTTTTATTTATTTATTTTTTTTATATATAAAATTTAAATACACGACCTCACTACGAAAGTTTACCATTACCACGAAGATAGAGTGGTATTAATAACGATGTCTACTGAGTACCACCTTTGTTTGTTGTTTAACGCCGCACTCAGCAATATTCCAGCTATATGATGGCGGACTGTAAATAGTTGAGTCTGGACCACACAATACAGTGATTAATATCATGAGCATCGATCCACGCAATAGGGATACAATGACATGCATCAACCATGTCAGCGAGCCTGACCACCCGATCCCGTTATTCGCCTCTTACAACAAGCAGAGTCGCCTTTTACGGCAAGCATGGGTTGCTGAAGATCTATTCTGATCCGGATCTTCACGGGTATGTTCCACAATGACAGTTTATGACAGTTTATGACGTTAAGTCTATGGAGTCTATTAAGTATAGGAGTTACAATCAACTTAGGAGTTGAGATCATCACCAGACAAACCAGTGATTGATATTATGAGCATCAGTCCACACAGTCAGGGCATTAAGACACACAATCAACCAAGTCACGGAGCTTGACAAATAAGACAAATAAAGGTTGCTGTGGACCAATTCTAACCCATGATAAAGAATGAAGTTAATATTTGAAATTCAAACAAATAGATCACATACCTGATGATAAACCCCTTCTAGTTTATTCTGCTGGAGCTTTTCTATTCTGAGGTGGCTGTCGTAGTCGCGTTGGCTGAAACAGGCAGGAATAGAAATGAACTATTTGACGTGTGCACCAGGGCACTCATAAAGGTTTTTGGATGTGCCCCTTGCAATTAAAGTGTGCCAACAAGAAGTTTCAGCGTTAGAAATTGGCACTAGTCCTGTAGTCCTTTCCAAGCTGTCAAATAGTTAAGGTATCATAAGGACTAGTAGAAATTTGTCATTTTTGAGGGGTTTTGCTATGTGATACCATTATGTGGTATAAATAAATTTAGTTTCTACCAAATGCAAGGTAATAAAAAGTAGTAATTCTGAAAGTTTGTCACCATCCTTTTCACGCAGATTGATGATACCCTTTTTTATTTCTGACACCATTTTCTGAAACATACTGTGCATTAGCTCATTCCAATGTTCATATTTTTAATCCCTTGTCGTGTTAAGTTTTGGTTTGATGTGATAAATATTGTCAGAAGGTACTGTTGGTAAAAACATATGATTGGTAAGTGTGCCCTGTAGCCACTGACAACTTATTTCAACTGGGTCATCATGTTTGAACATGTTAACTGTGCCATTGTCACTAAGATACAAGGACTTTTGAACCCTGGTGGAATGATGAATCATTTCTATATTCTTTATATTATGAAAGTCCAGGATACTGTTAGAGTATATTTTACTGCCTCTTCAATCAGTACATAATGCAACAGAGAGAGAAATGAAAATTTGAAATGTCTCTAATACAAGAAGTGTTGAAAATTGGTTGGATTGATCATAAAACATGGGTTGATAGTTTGTTGATATATATATATATATATATATATATATATATATATATATATATATATATATATATATATATATATATAAATATAAACTCAAACATAAAGAATTATTAATTAAGGAGTCTCTGTGTGTGTGTGTATTTTGTTAACACTGTTAACATTTGTTAAGCACTCAGTGATATTCCCGCTAATGACATGACGGCAACCCGTAATCAATCAAGTCTGGGACAAATAATCCAGTGATTGATATTATGAGCAGCAAACCATGCTATCAGGGCATGTTGACATGCCATCAACCAGGTCATCGGGCCTGATCACCCTGATCGCCTCTTATGACCAGCATAAACTGCTCCCAACCAATTCTAACTCAGAATCCCCCGGTCTAGCCATTAAATAAATATAGAGTATGTTGAGTATGTGGAATATTTTGAATCATGGATTGATTTAATATGTGATTGGGAATTTGTAGAATTTTCCTATTCGGAATATTCTATAAGTAATACGTTACCACTGTTATACCGAGGCTGTTGTCTCCCACAACTGCTGCTATAGCGAAATCTACCACAGAGATCTCAATTACCTCATGCAGCACGTGCGTAGCCACCTAGCTGCCATGTGACACCCTTCACTTTTGTCTCCTGCGAGAGCAAGTGCTCGGGGGACGGACGGGCGTGCAGCAGCCCAGTGGTAACGTATTACTTATAGAATATTCCGAATAGGAAAATTCTACAAATTACATTAAGTAATACGTTACCACTGTTATACCGAGGCTGACTATCACAGTAGGCGGTGGGGAGCACCTACAACCCGAATCCTGACTGCTAGCGTTCCTTCCGACCAGCGGAAGTAAACACCAAGGCGGAAGCACTCGATGCGCATGCACCTAGCTAGGCGTTACCCTATAGGAATACCAAAGCACTGTCAAGCGCATACCGTAAGGCTCAATCGTCATTGCCAAAACGATTGGTGACTCCAAACGGCCCCACTGGATAGGTATTTCATCGCCGCAGCGGATGAGAACACTGTATCCGCGTGAGCTTAATCTTAGATCAGGTTAAACAGTCGAAAAGAGGGAAATTAATTTCATTCAGACCGTATATCCCAGAGCAAGCCTACTTAGAGTATGCATTAGGCGCGTGACCTAATTCCAGTATTTGTAAGCATGCATCACAAGGTTGGGATACACGACAGACAATTAAAGACATAATTGTCAAAATACAAATAAGGACAAAGCACACAAAAAGCTGCCCTCACCTGTGGTGTGAGTGCGCTGGTTTGCGGGACCCCAACTCCTGTACCCACGGCAGTGGGAACATTGGAGTCGACCCAGATTGACCACCGTGCAAGGTCAGACGCCTGAGGAGTTCGGAATTGCGCTGGGCACACCCCTTAGGTGCCCGCTTGCGCCGCGATCCGCGGGCCAAGACGGTGCACACTCTCCACGACGGCATCAGCGACCTGTTTGAGGTAATGATTGGCAAAAACCGAGTCAGAACGCCAGTAACAACCTCGTAATATTCTGTGAACAGAGATATTCGAGTGTAGGGCAAATGTTGCCGCTAGCGCCCTGATCTCGTGCGGGTTTGACCCCGCTACCGGTAACCCCCGAGACCGGTACGCCAGATTGATGACAGAACGAAGCCACAACGCAATCGAGTTGCGAGTTATGTCAACCGTGCGATTAGGGTTACACGATATGAACAGACGGTCATGCCCTTGTCTACGTTCATTTGAAGCCTTAAGATAATACTTAAGGGCCCTAACCGGACACAGCGCTCTGTCCTCAGTATCAGCAGGATGTAAGATTTCTTTGAGTGATCTTACAGTGAATTCTCTCTCCGTTTGCCCGGCTCTCTGATTCTTGGCGACGAAGCCCATGAGCAGGCCCAGGCGGACCGCTCCTTCGTCACCCCTATCGAATCGTACCTTGGCGACATCGAGTGCATGAATTTCGGATACACGTGCCGCCGTGGCAAAGGAGAGGAGAAATGCTGTTTTCCAAGTCACATGCCGGAACGAAGTACTATGCAAGGGTTCATACGGAGCTTCCGTAAGTGATTGCAACACTAGGGAAAGATCCCAGGCCGGTGCCCGAAGGTGGCCCTTCTTAAGATCGTGCTGTTTGAAACCCTTGATAATACCCTGTATCACCGGCTCTTTGGAGAGACTGGTACCCATAGCAACGTCCCGTACCGTAGCAACGGACGAGACATAGTTGGCAATGGAACCCCCGGAGAGTTTCCGGGTCTCTCGCAAGTGAGACATGAAACGAGCAATATCCTGCACAGATACCTTATCTGGCGAATGAATGTGATGTTTACAACACCACTTCGTGAAAATAACCCAACGTGCATTATACACCTTCTGGGTAGAATCACGATGCATACTAACGTATGCCCGAAACGCCCGGCGAGAAAAAACTTTACTCCTCAGACGCTCGGTGACAACATCCACGCGTGCAGATTGAACTGCCCTGCGTTTGGATGAAGCTGACGGGTGTGAGGGTGGATCAAGAGATCCGGTCTCACAGGCAGTGGAAGTGGCGACTGCGTGACCTGGGTCAGCAAGTCGGGGTACCACGATCTGTTCAGCCACATGGGCGCGATCAGTAACATTCGACAGCGAACTCCTCGGAGCCGGCTTAGAATGTGTGGTATCAACGCTGTCGGCGGGTAAGCATAAGCGTCCAAGCCCGTCCAGTCTAACGCGAGAGCATCGTGATCGATGGCCCTCGGGTCCGGGACTGGTGATACAAACAACGGGAGTTGATTGTTGAACCGCGTTGCGAACAGGTCGACCATCGGACGACCCAAACGTTCGCACAGCCACTGAAACACTACTGGCTTCAGCATCCACTCTGCGGGGCTCGGATCCTGAGGCCTCGATAGAGCATCGGCCAGTACGTTCCGCACACCTGGGATGTGACGGGCGCGTATCTGGCACGGGACACTGTCCACCAGAGCGTTAAACTCGAACGTGAGATCGAGTAGCGAGTGACTGTGGCTTCCCCCCAGTTTGTTCACATAGGACACTACCGTCGTGTTGTCGGTCGCCAGCATGAGCCGGGCGTCGACGAGACGATGCTTCCAGTGATTGACTGCGTTGATCACTGCCTTGAACTCGAGACAAGTGATGTGAAGACCTAGTTCGTCTACGCACCACAGCCCCGAGCTCACCTCCCCCTTTAGATGGGCGCCCCAGCCCACTAGAGAGGCGTCTGTATACAGGGTCAACGTGGCCCGGTAGGGCCGCATAGAGACTCCTGATAAGACAATGTAAGGGACCGTCCACCACTCCAGATGCGGTCGGAGCCGATCCGGGAGGGCGACGGTCGCACTGTTCACCTCCGTTGCTAACAACTGGATTAAAAACCGTTGCAGCGGGCGGAGTTGGAGACAACCCCGTGCGGTGCAGTCCTGGGCTGATACAAGTAGCCCTAACAGCTGTTCCCAAAAGTGAACAGTCTGTTGCACCGCTAAGACTTTGGCAATCATCGCCTGAATTTTGTGCCACCGGTCTGGGGGGACAAAGAGGCGAAGGGACACCGTGTTGAACCGACCTCCGATGAACAGCAAGTTCTGAGAAGGGGTTAACTCGCTCTTGGGGAGATTGATAATCCACCCAAATTGCTCCAAGAGCCGACGTGCGAAAACGAGATGGCGTGACAGGGTGTCCGTCATTCGATTTGCTACTAGCGAGTCGTCCAGGTACGCGAAGTACCGGACACCCCTCCTGTCGAGGAACCCCACTATGGGGGTGGTTAACCGGGTGAACAGCCAGGGAGCGGACGTGTGAATCATTCTGAGTTCGGCACTGTCCTACTTGGGAACGAGAAATATCCTGGAGTAAAACCCCGGTGTTATTTCTGGTAGAGCTAACTCCTGTACTGCCCCTTCTCAACCTGCCGATGGCATCGGCGAGGATGGGAAGATCGGTTTCCGAATCGAAACCTGCCAACGGGGCAACGGTGAGCGGCGGATTCGCTTTGAGATCAAGCCGATAGCCGTACCGAATCGTGTTGACCACCCACGGGTCGTCGAACACTTGTTCCCAATTCTCCCAGTAAGTCTGGAGTCTGGCTCCCACTGGGGAAGGAGAGGGGGCCCTGACAGGTTGCGGCAGGCGCAACTGTCCAGGGCCAAGTGACTCGGGTTCGCCTAAGGGCCAACCGAAGTTGGCGCTGTCGGCATACGAACCCCTCCAATGAGAGTCACCTGGAGGGGCCCTTGCCGTCCGTCGACGACTTGGGCTTCCCCCAGTTCCCCGTCTTCCCGCGAAAAGGGCAGCTGATTGCCCATACCGGAGCCCTCAGGGCGGGGCTACTTCCCAGAGGAAGAAGAACCCGACCCATTAGACCTACCGGCCGCAGCAGCCTGGGGCGCGCTCCGGTTAGGAGCGGCACCCAGGCGCCTATGCAGGGACCCAACAAGAGCAAGTGTGTGCCGAGAGTCCTCGGCAACGTACTCCAGGGAAGCATTTAAACTGAGCAGGCAGTTGTAAATGCGCTGGTCACGGTCCGTGGGAGAACCTTCGACCAGACGGGCCGCTGCAGCCAAGTAAGTGTCTCCGTGAGACATGGAGTGCCGAGCGAGGGCGTCCAGCTGGTGCAAGGTAGCTTGCGTTACCGTAGCAGCCGGTGGGGCACGGACACCCAACCGCTCAACATGGGCCTCCACGGTAGGACCATCCTCGGGAAAGGCATGGTCATGTACCGGGAATAAACCCTTTCTCCACGACGTCGGAGGCAACGGGAGACACCGACCGGAGGCCGCCGCGAAGGCGTTCTCCAAGGAAGGCTTGAAACCGCGCAGCAAGGTTGATGCGGGGAAAGCCGTGTCGGAAGACTCATCGTATACCTTGGAGGAACCCACAGTCGTGGATTCCCCGCGGTACCGGCCGGGGCATGTCCTCAAAGAGGTCATAAACCATGGCCACGCGGTCCTAAACCGATAGCGGGAGCAACGGTTCGGGGGAAGGACCGGTGACCACGGGAGCCGCCGCCGTACCGGTGGACCCCGCGGCCACCGAAGTGGCCGGGGACGGAACAGCCAGCGGCCTATCCTGAGATAAGGCCGCCAGCTTGGAGTCCACAAGTTATGCAAGTAATGCAGCGACGGAATCCCCGGACAGCACACGGGCCGCCAAGAGATCCGCCGCTTTACCGGTGGACCCCGCGTCCGACCCCGCGGCCACCGAAGAGGCCGGGGACGGAACAGCCAGCGGCCTATCTTGCGATAAGGCCGTCAGCTTGGAGTCCACAAGTTTCGACAACAATGCGGCGACGGAATCCCCAGACAGCCCGAGGGCCGCAAGGGGATCCGCCGCAGCCGAGGAGGTGGTACCCGCATGGGGACCCCGACCGGACGAACCGGCCACCACAGGGGTGGAGACGGACTGTACGTACAGCCGGTACCGCTCAAACTCCGCAGGCCCCAGACCTTCGCACAGGATGCACCGGGTGTCCCCGCAAGGAACCCTGCACCGCGGGCAACGATCGTGGGGATCCCGGGACGACAAAAAACTTTCTGCACACCCCACAACTCCGAGGAGCAGGGGTAGAGGGGGTGAATACTGGGGACATATCCATGTTAGACATTGATTGTTTGCTATAAACAAAGAACAAAACATGGTTACAACGCACGCACCACAATGATTCACAAACGAACATTTTCACAAGAAAATAAACGAGCAATGTGAACATATAACATACACATATAACTTTTATTAAAGAAATAAGTTATGTTAACCCCCGAAACATACAAGAACAGGGGAAACGTAAAACACAACGTGCATACGCGAACCCCGCAAGTATATAGAAAAAAGGGCGGGAAAAATTTTCCGTTTGGCGGGAAAATTATAACCAAGCGTAGCTACCGCAACGCCCCATAAAAGCACAGTTTATTAGAGAATAAACTATAATAAATATCACCAAATCTTCAAGGAACGCTTCAGCAGGAGGAATACACGTCTTGCTACGCAGACGAAGGAGACAAGAGTGAAGGGTGTCACATGGCAGCTAGGTGGCTACGCACGTGCTGCATGAGGTAATTGAGATCTCTGTGGTAGATTTCGCTATAGCAGCAGTTGTGGGAGACAACAGCCTCGGTATAACAGTGGTAACGTATTACTTAATGTAATAAAGAATTTATAACTGATGAAGGCATGGTTACATGGAAACAGATGAATTGGAATCATTGGAACATAACCAAATGACAACTAACAGTACTCTTCCTCTACAATCTAAACATGCTAAACACTTGTCAGTTATATTTTATTTGACAAATATTTAAGTTTTTCAGAAACAAATATGCAAACATCATGTTCTGCAGTCTTAATATAAACTACTCAAAAGAAGTTAAAGAACACCCAATCTTTTTACATGACTGCATGGCAGGTGGGTATTGCAACACATAGCCTTCTAAGTGTGAGTGTTCCTTAACTTGTTTTCAGTGGTATAGAAGCCAGATGAGTCTGAGACTGTATTTTCGTACCCTGAAACATTGAGTGTGTGAGCAGTGTTTTACGCCACTTTTAGCAATATTCCAGCAATTTCACGGTGGTGGACACCAGAAATGGGCTTCACACATTTTACCAATGTCGGGAATTGAACCCGGGTCTTCAGCGTGACGAGCGAATGCTCTAACCACTAGGCTATACAACCCCCCCCCCCCGAAACATTAATAGGCACTGACCTTGGTGAAGCCTCTCTGTCTCATCAGCATGTTGACCTTGGAGTTGTAGAAGTCAAACACAAACTGGGCCATCTGAGACATGTCATCGATGACTAGCGGGGTGCTCTCTGGACGCTCTTGTACCTGTGGGGTGTAAGGAGTTTCGTGTCGGATAAATGTCGAACAGAAGGAAACAGTTGTTTGTAGTTTGTCTTGGGATAGCTCGTCCAAATACACTCATCGATTAACTTATGAGCCCCAAAACACCTGTTGCAAAACCATTTGCACATGTTTTTTGTAATCTCGTGCTTCTCATGCTCTGTATGTGACAGACTACGTTGAACAGCGTAACATCTTGAGTTGACATATTATCATTGTGGGACGAAGACGTCAATAGGACTCCAGTCCGGAGATTGCTTTGATAACATTAGAGAGAACTTCCATTATCGGGAAGTTAATACCATTTTATGATACAAAGTGGTTAATTTTCACGCTTTCGATGAATATATAGAAATGTAATTTTGGTGATATATTCATTGGTTTAAGGAAGGCAATGTGTTTCTGTTTTTTCAGACATTATCTTTTTGACTTGTTTATTTAATGGGGAATACAAACTGCCTCATTCACAAATGTCTATATATTGTCTTTCAGGGGTGAAAGTTTTTCATCCAAAACAACTTGTCCTTGTACATTAAACTTCTAATGCCACTCAAAAGCGAACATCTTATTTCAGTAGGTGAGTGGATGTGGTTTTGCATCTATTGGGGTTTGAGTCTGGACTAGGCAAACCAATGTATGATCCATGCCACAAGGTCATTCCCTGTAACCAGTGCATCCCTATTCTATACTGCTCCACTTTGATAGGGATGTTTCTATCTTTCCATGATACACACAACTGATTCCCATACGCCATGTGTATGTATAGATAGAGTGACATGCCTGATTATCCCTATAAAACTTGAGTAGCATACATGTAGAATATTCTTATTGGTGCACTTTTCTTTTGTTTGTTGTTTTACGCCACACCCGGCAATATTTCAGCTATATGTCGACGGTCTGTAAATAATCGAGTCTGGACTAGACAGTCCAGTGATTGACATCATGAGCATCGATCCACTCTTTCCTCCGACCTGGGAATTCCATGTTATTTCTGAGATGGTTGCTATGTTCAAATATCCCATTTGAACCATCCAGCACTGTGTTCCTTTAGATATTCCAACAACTGTATATTATAATGACAAAATAGCTTCTCCCTGTCGCTATACTTGAATCTAATTGTAATTTTGCAAAACGTCTCTAAAACATTTTGGCTCTTGGGTAATTAATTTAAAAAACAGATGACCCAACTTTGTGTGAAGAGTTTGTTACCCCTCTGTCAATACTGTACTTCTTTGCACAAACCAGAAATAAAAAGGATTCAGTCAGAATATGTTCTGCTGATTGTGAGAAACAAGCTGCGACGGTGAAGGTCAACATGGGAAATAACTCAGTATTTTTAAGATTCTCTGTTCAATCAGGATTTCTTATAAGCCTGGGCCTCAGTTATTCAGTAAAGTCCATGATAGAGCATCAGTCACCCAGATGAGACTCCTTTGAATGAATGATGCACAGACTGTGTCATTTGTTAACCTGGAAGATCAAACAGTTGTAGAAACTCATCCTTATTGTGATATAGGCAAGAGCAATAATATTCTAAAATGTCCTCGTTTCCACAGGCCATATTTGCAGGTATCTGAATCACCAGATGGACAGAGGAGTTGGTAATGAGCCTCACCTGTCTCTCGGGCGGAAACCCCTCCTGGGGCACGATGTGGATCTTCAGAGGGCGGGATGTCAACTGTGGACCAAACAGCAGGTATATTACTTGTCTTGTGCTACCATACATAACAGACATGGAAATAGGCCTAAATATAAAACAGTTGCTATTCACAACCACTCACAGTCATTATCATTTTAGATACAAACAATACAAAAGATATTTGGCAGCGATACTTTGACCAAAGTAGTGTTATCTCATGGGCATTCTGATTAGTTTGTTGTGTTTCGCACAGAACACTGACAAGTCTTCTTTAGGGAAGGGGTAAGTGATGATGAATGTTGACCATATGTGTGATGTGAACAAAATGATCTACATTGACTTACCCTGTTGAATATAGGTGTAAAGCCAACTTACTCTGTTGAATGTAGGTGTAAGGTCAACTTATCCTGTTGAATGTAGGTGTAAGGCCAACTGACCTGTTGAATGAAGGTGTAAGGCCAACTTACCCTGTTGAATGTAGGTGTAAGGCCAACTTACCCTGTTGAATTTTGGTGTAAAGCCAACTTACCCTGTTGAATGTAGGTGTAAGGCCAACTTACCCTGTTGAATGTAGGTGTAAGGTCAACTTACCCTGTTGAATGTAGGTGTAAGGCCAACTTACCCTGTTGAATGTAGGTGTAAGGCCAACTTACCCTGTTGAATGTAGGTGTCAGCTCGTAGCAGTTGCTGAAGAGGCCGACTCTAGCGAAGATGTACAGTCCCAGTCGAGCCCGGGACATGGCCACAACCAGACGGCGCACATCTCTATAAGAATAAAAGTAGGTGTTACGAGTGCAGTAAATAAAGCTTTGCCTACATGGTCAAAACTTTATTTTAACAAAGTCAAAATTATAACGTTGTCTCTTATCCCGGTCCACCCACCTGAGATGTCCAACGGTCTTGGTCCTGACGAGGGACAACAGGATGTAGTCGTTCTGCTGACCCTGATACCTGTCCACTGTGGTCACCTGAATAAACACCATTACACCATATGTATGATATGATTCCACGGAAATGATATTATTAAATGTAAACGTTCTTCATGGACTGGTGTCTCATAGAAAATAGCACATAATGTGCTAGTTTGCCTTGAGATTTTGTATACGGTAAATTAAATCAAGTATGAGATGTAATGTTCATCACCTGGTAATGAATCATCACAGTACCTTGTAATGACATAGCTAACATTAGTGTTAAGAGATGTGTGCATCCTCAATCATTCAGTGTTTCCATTCATATTGATGATATTCAAGAAACTATTCATTGTTGAACAATATTTCATTATTATACAAATTTCTCTTGATTTATTATTCTCTTCAGAGCTCCAGATAAGCTGCGTATCTACGTAAAATATGCATCAGAAATGCAGAAATACGCAGTAAAATAAAATCCAAGCGTATCAAATACGCAACGAACATTACAGATAAGCTACAAAAATAAAACTTGTGCATATCCTCAAATTATTGTGAAGGAACCCTGCGTATTCGATTAGCAAATCAGTAACTTATTTTGAAATTATAAACGGGCATTCCGTCAACCTTGCCAAACTCCACAATGACAGTTACATCACGATCATTTGCCATCACACATTCTTGTGGAAGTATCATGGTATTTTTGAGTCCTATAAAGCTCTCGAACCCACACGACACCAGTTTGCGTGGATTAGATGAATAGTGTTTTTAAATATTTAACTTAAATCTTAAAGCTTATCTGGAGCTCTGCTCTTAGGAAATGTTCATGTTTCTGTACTGGCACCAAGACATATCCGTGTCAGATTGTGTCAAGTGATTCTCTAATAGCAAGCTCTTAATGCCTGGAGGTCATCGCTTACTGACTGTTCGAACAGAACACTATTCAGCTGAAGATTTTGATACTTTGTTTTTGTCCAGGGTTTACATGGCCATTTATTTACTAGTCAGAAGCAAGTGGATATATGGTAGACTGTCCATATCTTAACGAGTCCCAAATGAATTGTGGAATACATAGATTTTAACCATGGTGTCCCGTTCAGACATGACAAAGCTTACCTTGTGAGGTCTGCCGATGAAGGGGTTGTCTCCACAGCGCTGGTGTATGACGTCACGGATCAGATGTTTCTGTCCGTTGTATGTCGTGAGGATGGAGATCTTCTCAGCCGGGTAACCAATCAGCCGCATGTACATGAAGAGAGCCACCACGTACTCCGCCTCCGCCAGGTTCTACAACACAAGGTCAGTGAGTGCAGGAGGTCAGAGCACCACAACACAAGGTCAGTGAGTGCAGGAGGTCAGAGCACCACAACACAAGGTCAGTGAGTGCAGGAGGTCAGAGCACCACAACACAAGGTCAGTGAGTGCAGGAGGTCAGAGCACCACAACACAAGGTCAGTGAGTGCAGGAGGTCAGAGCACCACAACACAAGGTCAGTGAGTGCAGGAGGTCATAGCACCACAACACAAGGTCAGTGAGTGCAGGAGGTCATAGCACCCAGAGGGTCATGGACAGAGGCGAAAAGACTTCCAGTTATACTCACTTTACTTTATAATTCATGTTGATTGGATGGTTCACACCAATTGCTACTTTGTTTTAATTGCTTGCGGCCCAACAAAGTAATGTCATGTGATGTCTACTCACTGTCGCAAATCATTGAACATGAGTGAGTGAGTTGGGTTTAACGCCGCTTTAACAGTATTCCAGTTATATCACGGCGTGTCAGCTTAATGTGGGAGGAAAGCCCACATTTACCACTTCGGTGAAACCCCTCGAGCATGGGTATGGTGCTGACAAACCTAGAAACATAATCGGGGCAAACCGGGATTCGAAACCACAATCATAGGTTTCTGGCATGCCCAAAGGAATCGCAGTGCCTTAGACGACTGGGCCACCCCATTGAACATGATCCCCCATTATTAATTGTATTATAAAACGGCTTATTTATCTCAAACAATAGACCGAGATGAAGTCACAACTTGAGATTAGGAAACCCACATGTATCTACATTGGCTCAGGCTATTGGGAGTATAGAGAATAACATACGTGCAACCTGTCCCTCATGAAATAATCTGGAAAACTGATTCACAGATAATCCATTATTCCTCATTTTATTCCTCATTTTATTCCTCCTTATTCTCTCAGTCTTTCATCACAGTCAGCAGTATTCCAGTTACATCATGGTATCCTAGCCCAGGCACATGTTTGATTTTTGTTTGTTTGTTGTTTAACGCTGCACTCCGTAATATTTCAGCTATGTGACAGAGGTCTGTATTAATCGAGTCAGGACCAGACAATCCAGTGATTGACATCCATGCAAATGGTATACAAAGATATGCATCAACCAAGTTAGCAAGCCTGAGCACCTGATCCCATTAGTCGCCTTTTACGGCAAGCATGGGTTGCTGAAGATGTGGACAGGGATCAAACCACCGACCTTCTGCTCAATCTTCTAGACAATGGAGGTGGTCATGGGATGAGTGAATGGAGTAAAGTTGTAGTTAGCAATTTAATTTTTAACAAAAACAACAACATGCATCGTGAAATACTTCAACAGAGACAATCTTACTGCTTACTACTACCAGCTTAATGACATGCCAGACCTACCTGGTAGAAGTATGGATTTGGTTCTGACTCCCCGATACCATTAAAGTCGCCCACGTCCACCAGCTGATAGTCGAACACAAAGCCTGGATTGGCCATCTGGAACTCAGGGCGGTTGAGGACGTGGGGGAGACTCCCCAGCTTCTTGTAGCGCCAGTTGTACAGACTGGCCAAACTGGGGGGAACAAAAACATTATTAATTCATTAGTGTCAAGGTTATTGGAAGGCAAATGATTTACATGTCTACCAGCAGTGAAAATTGTAATCCAAGGTCAGCACTCCAAGTCTCCCTAAAATAGGACTTACCTTGCTCTGGCTCTCCCCTGTGCGTCAAGGTCCACAGTCGGCACTCCAAGTCGGACCAGCCGGGTGAAGAGAGACTGCTCCATGTTAGAGAACTTCTGGAAGGCCATGTTCTTGATGACTGGGGGTAGCTGGTGGTGGTCACCGATCATGATCCATCGCTTCAACCGGTTGTTGCCATCCTCGGGGTTCTGATGAAGGAAGTACGGGTAAAAGTATGTATTAGTATTTTTCCCTTGTTTTCTGTCCATGTGGGAATTACGGTTTAGGAAAGGTCCCCAGAAACCTATGTCGGTCGTAAGGTGACAACTTGATAGCGTGATCAATCTTGGGGACTTCGTTGATAGCGTGTCATGTTACCCCAATATCATGGATCGTTGTTCAAGATATAAATCACTGGATTATCTGGTCCAGACAGATTATTTACAAGTTGCTTTCATACAGCTGGAATATTACTGACTGCAGCGTTAAAGAACAAACATGTATACTTTCAGCTGTAAAAGATTAAAGGGGACTTAGAAGGCCTGCAACTCCTAGTTTACTCTTAGCAATGTCTAATACTGACACTCTGCTCATCTTGAACTATAAATAAATCATGACCACATATTTCATGGTTTCCGTGACCTTACGTTTACAATCTTATAAATATATGAAGGTATTTCTCTGTTACCTTGGTGATAATGATTAATACTTCAAGCAATCCCAAAATCTCCATTTCACTTGGCTTAATAGGGTTTCTTTGTAAAAATAGAGATTTTTGGGGTTTCTTTGTAGTTAAAGAATAATGTGCAAATCTGGAAGTGGATTTACGGTAAGTGTGCACACCATAATTTTTATGGTAAAAACTTCACAGATTGCTTATTTAATCATAAACACAAAAAGGTTTTGACAAAACGAAATCAGTGACATCATTCAGTGCAATATTATAACATGAGCCCCGCCCATTCTATTATCAGCCAATCAGGAAACAGTAGTCCATTAGTGGGCGTGGTCTACTTTTTTTCAGTTACTGAAAAAACACACACACAAATTGCTTGGTTACCCAATCAAATGTGACGGGATAAATTGAAATTGATCTATGTTTATATGTGCACAGTACCTGCAGCAAGAGAGGGATGAAAGTCTCGATCTCCAGAATCTGAGCTGCCTCCTCCATCAGAATGTTGTCAAACTGGAAACAGAATACAATGTGGCTCCATTTAATAATTCTCATTACTATGACTTAACTGGCAATATAAAAACGTTAGTACAAATTGTGTTCTTTCATTTAGATACTCACCAGACACAAACCAAATATGGGGAAAACATGATTAACATCAATCATTTTTTTATGTGGGGAGGGAGGGGGGATGGGGTGTGTGTGTGGGGGGGACATTTTCCGAATAAATAACATCCGAATACCAAACAGGCATACACATAAACATTCTGCCAATAAAGATCCATCAATGGCAACATACTCACTTTTCTTTCTGTGCAAGAAAAAGGTACCTACATGTTTATATAATTCTGATCATTTTTAAAAAAAAAAAATCATCTAAAAGATTGAATAAATATCAGCAAGGCCTAACATATATCCATATGGTAGAACCGTTACCTTGAAGCCCACACTGACGAGGTCCCTCCTCTTCAGGGCAGCATGGGTACAGGTCATGGCTATAATCTTGGCCTCCTTGATCAGCAGGTAGTTGGCCCGGTCAGCGCCACTCCGCAACAACTCAAACGCTCGGAACTCCTGCAGAGAGAAGAACTTGTGTGAATGTTTTTTCGGCTATATATTGTCATCATACCAGTCACGAACTGTGAGTCAAGCACCAGCCACTGGCTCCCGGTGACAACATTTAAACATGCCGGACTGGGGCAGAGGGAGGTTATCACTGATCAACACTATTGTAGCAAAAACATATTGGCCTTTATCAGGATACCTTGCTCCGATCTGATATGCCTTGACAACTGGGCCACCTGTGCCCCTCTTGGTACGTATGTGCTGACTTCAGTTTAGTTGCCTCTTACGACAAGAAAATGGTGCTGGTGACCTATATTCTTACCTGGAGCACATCTTAAGACTGAGCGTGTGTGTACGTGTGTGGAGTAAGTGGGTGGGGGGCAGGGGTGTTAGGTGGGGTGGGGGTCACCAACCTCCTCTTGCAAGCATGGGACACAGGGGCGTACCCTTCCCTGGCATCCCCACAGGGCCTTTAGGTATTAGGGGTCTATAGGCATTAGTGGCCAAGAGGTATTAGGGATCTAGAGGTAATTGGGGCCTAGAAGTATAAGGGGCCTAGAGGTATTAGGAGTCTAGAGGTATTAGGGGTCTAGAGGTATTAGGGGCCTTTAGGTACGAGGGGCCTAGAGGTATTAGGGGCCTTTAGGTACAAGGGGCCTAGAGGTATTAGGGACCTAGAGGTATTAGGGGCCTTTAGGTACGAGGGGCCTTTAGGTACAAGGGGCCTAGAGGTATTAGGGACCTTTAGGTACAAGGGGCCTAGAGGTATTAGGGACCTAGAGGTGTTAGGGGCCTTTAGGTACAAGGGGCCTACAGGTATTATGGACCTATAGGTTTTAGGGTCCTTTACATATTAGGGGACTATAGGTCTTATGGACCTATAGGTTTTAGGGTCCTTTACATATTAGGGGACTATAGGTCTTATGGACCTATAGGTTTTAGGGGACTTTACATATTGGGGGCCTATAGGTATTAGGGACAACTTGACCACTATAAGAGTTGATAAGATTGTCCCACCTCCAGTTGGGTGAATATCTTCTTGATGTGTCTGAAACAGCCCTCCGCGATGTCCAGATCCTCTGCGTAGCTACGCCGCTTGAAAAGAGGTTGAGGAGCATTGTCGAAGAATTTGCTGAAGGGGAATATCTCGTTGATCACTTTCACATTCTGCTCCTGCAAAAAATAAACGTGGTGATAAAATGCATAAAAAATAGTGTTTGTTTGCTTGTTTTGTTGGTGACCTATTCTTACCTGACCCACAGAACATTAGTGTTGCATAACATGCAAAATACATTGTAAACATTTATGGGCAATGAATTCTTGAATGACCGGAAAGTAGCCTATTAATAGAAGCTGACACTAATTATGCCATAGGAATATTTTCTATACTTACTTTATCCTTGGTGGCCCTTAGCTTACTCAGGAATTCTTCCCATCTTGCTAATACCTGCAATGAGAGTTATCATTTTTTAACAAATAATATTCATTAACATATTTATTGCTAAATAGAAACATGACATGGTAATACAACAGGTGATGATTGTGTTAATGTTAACTTTAAGTCAGTGAGTGTACTGGTAAAGTGCCCCCTTACCTGATACAGGTAGAAGTAGCCGGCGGTCTCACACGTGTACGACATGTCACCGGTCACTCCCAGACTGCCCTGCAGCCTGGCCACTTCCTCCAGCAGCTCAAGTCGCTGAGCCAGAACGTAGTTCACACGACCATATCTGCCAGCAAAACAAGATGCTGGTATTTCGATGTTTCTCTCATGGAGTTAATGTGAGTTAAAGTAAAATGAAAAGTATATACCAGTAAAATTATTCATTTGGCAAATATTATACAAAAATACATTCAAGTCTGCATTTTTAATGAAGTTTAAAAAGATATTTTGCTTTTCTATTGGATGAGAGGCCGGTTACATTACCACAAAACTGACATTCATACGTTTCTTTTACAAAACTGTATGCTTGAAATGATGGAGAAATTGATGGACTACTTCCACATTCCTTGGGAAAATCCTGGAAATACCCAAACACAAATAAATACAGAAGCATTGTTTCTGATTTCTTAGACCCTTTAATCTTGAACTCAATGTTTTGGCATACATTGGGTAGCGTCATAGTTTGACTGATGCCCATGCACAGATATCCTCACTACACTTTAAACAATAATAAGAATGTTTAATTACCTGCTGAAGTCTTTCTCAGTTTCAAGAGCCTCTTCACCGTGACCTAGACGTAGCAAATGTCTCTCGTCAATATCAAGCGCCATGATCTTCTCAAACAGCTGGTTCAAGGCCTACAACAAACCCGATGTACAGGCGTTATATAACCGAATGATACAAGACACTTAACTCTTGACTCTTACACAGAAGTATAGTTCTATTCCAGCAATATCACAGCAGGGGACATCCAGAATGGACATAATTCCCCTGTGGTAAATTAAATGTGTTATTTAATTGTAAAAAGTCAACATTTTACCAACAATTTTGCCTTTTATCATCAAACTTTAAAGCATATCTTTCTATGAAACATAAGCTGGGTTTGGGTGGGTTCAGTTTAACACTGCATTAAATAGTATTTCAGTTTACTTAGCGTGTCAGCTTGATGTTGGAGGAAAGGCTGAGTTTAGGTGAGGTGGATGTGTGCGTGTGTGTTTGAATTTGTGATTAGAGCACATGATAATAGGTTCCTGGCACACCTAAGGGACATAACTCTACACATCTAATTGTGGTGCCTTTCATGACTGGACCAACTCTGCCCCAATCTGGATAGAAACTAGTAGTGGGACTATACACCAGCATATCGGTGGATTGCGCTTTTTTACTTCTTGATACAAGTTTCGATCACAGTCACACACTAAGTAAAAAGTATCGGTTCTAACCTTAAATTCTATTCTTTAATAAATGTTACACTAAAGACTAATTACTAGTGAAAATGAGTAGTGAAAAGACAAATATTTTCATCCACTGCGCCATACTTGGCACTGCCAACTGTAAATCGCCAGGTATTTGGCCATCCTGTCTATGAAAAAGATGGCTTACACCCCACAGATTAGAACACATGCAAGTAACATGATACGAATCGGATCTCACAGTTGGTGTATTCTCCCACCCCCAGTAGAAACTAGGATCAATATCAAAACAACTGCTGGCCTCAAGGGGTTTGATGTAAGAAATAAACGAGTGGAAGTTGTTAATCAAACAATAAAACACTAGAGGGAGAATAAACCACGAGATCGTCTCATCTGTGTTGCCCGGCTACACTATGGGAAACAACTCACTAGACACTCCCCTCTTCAAAATAACGTCCAATTTACGACGTCATCAAGTTGCAAGCGCATATTCAAATCTACCAAAATGACGTCACGATGGAACAATGTTTTATCGTGAAATAAACCATGTTTTTACCTAATTTTTCTTTGCAATTTATCTCGTAGCTATCTTCCATGTAACGATGCTATACGATGTGTGTACCTGGTTAGAGTGAGTGACTATGAGCGTCCTCTGGTCGGGGAAGTTGTGGTAGATGTTGGAGATGATCTGTACCGCCACGTCAGTCTTCCCTGTTCCCGGGGGTCCAACCACCATCGTCAGCCCTGGCTGCATCCCCGCCCGGATAGCCTCTATCTGAGTCGGGGTGAAGTGGATGGAGTTTCTGTCAACAAGGCACCACATGGCATCAGAAGGTGGTTACATATACAGAATTGCACAACAAGTGCATTGTCAATACTTCATGGTCTTTGAAATAAAATGTGATTTCGTGGCATTTGATTGGCTAACCAAACAATCACTTTTGCATTTATGTTTCCGTAAACCGAAACTAATGGACCAATGTTTCCTGATTGGCTGAAAAAACAGTAAGTGAGGATTGTGTTGCATTATGTGTTGAATAATGTCACTAATTTCGTATAATTAGCTAAAGTATTTTTTTGTTAGAGAGTGAATGAGTGAGTTTGGTTTTACGCTGCTTTTAGCAATATTCCAGGGGGTAGGGTCCTCGTGCGTGCATGCGTGCGTCTGTGGGTGAGTACTTACCTCCGGGGTTGGTTGTAGGCGTAGGATCCTGGTGTGTGCATGTGTGCATCTAAGCATGAGTACTTACCTCCGGGGCTGGTTGTAGGGGTAGGGTCCTCGTTGGTGCATGCGTGCGTGCATCTGTGCATGAGTACTTACCTTCGGGGCTGGTTGTAGGGGTAGGGTCCTCTGTTTGGTGTGACATGAGGCTGAACTTCCGCACTCAAACTGACAGGACCTGACGGACGGTCAACACCCTCCTTCCTCTTGCTCTCAGACTTCTCTTCTTTGAAGTTTATCCTGAAAGTACCAGTTTGGTATGTCTAGTTTCTGCCAGCAGTGTTCGAACATAACTGATAAAAACAAGACCTACATGGAAACATTTTCACAGATTGAACTTGGTCCTGGACACCATTCCCTATACTACCAAAGCTAAACTGACTCATGAATGTTTATCCCTGTGGTGAAATGCTGGAGGTGAGATGAAATGGGGTTTAACGTCGCGTCCAAGATTGTTGCACTTATATAGCGACGTTCATGCACGTGTCTGTCTGGCTGCTTGTACTAGTCCGGACTGATGTCGATTTATAGTGCTAGCACACTGAGATACCATACCGCAGTATAACATGAATACCCCACTCAGACACAGTATACTGACTCCGAGCCGACCAGTCCTTGTTTTAGCCCCTTAATGCCGAGCGCCAGACAGGGTAACAACAAGTACCATCTTTTAACGTCTTTTGGTATGAGGCGGCTAGGGATCGAACCCCGGACCTTCCACTCTCCGGGCGGACGCTCTACCACTAGACCACGGAGCCGGTGTGAAATGCTGGAGCATTGCTTGCACGAAGACAGACAATGGATACTTTGAGCCACATCTAAGGGCACATTAGATGACTCTGCCATCCATGCCTAAGAAAGATAAGAAGACTCTTGTCTTGTATGAACAAGTTGGTTGCTGTTCACACAAATGTATGGAAAATAAGTCCACAGATATTTTATCTATTATTTATCAACTTATCTTAAATCAAGACTAGAAGCCAAAAGATGCTTATGAAAATATTTACTTAACCCATCATAATAACTATCTTGGCAGACAAAATTAGTAAAATTGAAGTATTTGAAGTATATTTGATTCTGTCAAATGTCTTATCCATTGTGGATTTGTGATGATCTTCAAGTTTTGGTACAGATCATGTCTACCAGAAGCCACATGAAACAAATTCTACGAGAGTACTATCACCCTCTCAATGGAATCGTTCAGCCAGCATTGAACTTCAGTGGTCACATGGTGCTGTGATGGAATTAGCAACACAACTAGTTGGGACAATTTCTTCTTCAGCTGGACCCCACACAGCTTCTTATTTTTGTCAAATTCAGCAAAAAATGCATGAAGGAGTAATGAAGGATAAGTAAAAAAATCAGACAATCGTGGGTATTATCATATCATCTGCTGAACTCGTCCCACTGCACATGTCGGAAGCGGGGCTGCTGGGTAAATGTTATGTTGTGATGAGGACAACGATATAAGGGTCTATACATAACACTAAAACAGTATAATAAATAAGTTAGTATCCATAAATACTTTGTCTATTTTGTCATCTTTCAACTGCTATGAAAATGCCCATCACACAATTCATAACAAGTTGACATGTGTAAGTATGAGTGTGTGCGAAACTGTGTAAGAATGAAGTGTCTAATGTAGTTGGTTGGTTGTTTAGATAAGATTGGCCTTACCAGGTAATTACATCGAACTCAACAGAGAGACATGTATTTAGTTTTTGTTACATTCTCACCTGTATATTAATCACTGAATCTGATACCTGTTCCTATTTTTATTAGTACCTGAAAGGTGGGATCTGCTTCTCTTTGTCATCTGTTGCCACGGTGACATGGTGTTCTGGGAAGCTGGCCTTGAGATGGTCAAGGTCAAGAAATGTGTCGTTCCAGTCTAGACTTGGGATCTTGTTGGGCATTCTGGAAACAAAAAGATAATGATTATGATGCTGATGAGCGGCTGAGTGAGTGATTAGTGTTGACGTGGGTGTGCCTGGATGCGTGCATGCATGCTTGTACTGGTCCTGACTTCAGCCAGTGTTATAGTGCTAGCCCACTGAGATACCATGCCACAGTTCAACCTTTATACCCATCTCAGACACAGTATACTGACTCTGAGCCGACCAATCCTTGATTTATCTCCTAAAAACTGATACCAGACAGGATAACAACAAGTACCATCTTTTAACATCTTTTAGTATCAAACAACTGACCTTCCGCTCTCCGTGCAGGCCCTCTATCCACTAAACCACAGAGGCACTGTTGGCTAGCACTTATTGGTCATAATACATACTTGTCATAGTGAGCTGCGTCCGGCTCCCCGTATCCCAGGATGAGGTCGTGCAGCCAGTCCGGCACCACACAGTCGGTGTTCATCAGGTCTCGGATCGTCTCCAATACAGCCTTGAAGTTGTTCTCCTTGGGTTTACGTCTCATCATCACGTTGAATGTTTCATACACATCCTGTCACAGAAACAGTTGCCATAAAGACAGTCTGTGATGAATTAAACATGAAAGTCTAATGGTCCTTGTCCCTTGCGTAAACAGGAGTCATCAGGAGATGAAATATCCCCCTGGTCTGGTACAATTTGAAAATGGAGTTTAGCTACTCATGCTACTCATACCCCACTTTGGATATCCCATAGGATACCTTCAGTTCAGTGAAGAAAAGAAATAATGCTGTTCAGTCTTTTCCAAAATCCCAACTCATCAAAAGGCACCAGTTCACCACTACATTGGTCTATATAGCAAGTTTCAATAAGAAATATTTATAAGTCCAAACTGATTCCATGGATACCGTAAAACATAAAAATGCTAAAAATCCGGAAAAAGCAAAAGGCACTAATTCAGGATCTGTTTGATATATCTGACAAGTTTTGTTGAAAGATATTGAACGATTGTTGAATTGTGCTCCACAAAACGAAATCCACCGCTTATGAGACCAGGTACAAATCGATTCCTTGGAAATCGAGAAAAAGAAAAATGCAAAAAATCGGTTAACAGCAAAAGGCCCCAATTCAGGATTTGTTTGGGCCAGTTCCAACCCAGAACCCCCATGGAGAATGACAAGTGATAGACTGGGGACCTATTCTAACTGGGGTCAACACTGAGGCACATTATGTATGAGTATAATACAACCAGGTACTGACTGTTTCAGTTTTGACCTCTCACCTCTCCTCCATTCACAGTGTTGGTCATGTCCTGCTGGTACTGGTTGGGATCCAGCCACACCCGGAACGTCCTTGTGTCGCCCTTTAACTCTGGCTTGGGCTCCGGACCTACACGGAATCATAACAATGACAGTCATCATGACAACACTGACAGGCGATACGAAGCTATGGTAGCAAATGGGACCAGGGTGACTACTTTGTTTGTTTGTTTGTTGTTTAACGCCACACTCAACATTATTCCAACTATATGAGAGCGCTTTGTAAATAATTGAGTCAGGACCAGACAATCCAGTGATTAACATAGCATGTATCGATATGATGACATGCATCAACCAAGTCAGCTAGCCTGACCACCCGATCCCGTTAGTCGCCTCTTACGACAAGCATAGTCGCCTCTTACGGCAAGCATTGGTTGCTGAAGACCTATTCTACCCCTGATCTTAACGGGTCCCAGGGTGATCACTACTTAAAAGAAGTAAAAAACACCCGATCTTTTCATTTGACTACTGCTTATCTGTCTGTGATGAATTAAACATGAAAGTCAAATCTTTTCATATGACTACAGCTTATCTGTCATGGCTGGTGGGTATTGCAACACACAACATTTCAATTGTGGGTGTTCTTTAACTTGTTTTGAGTAGTATATTTGAGTAAACTGGCCTTTTCATAAACGAAACCAGATGTTAACCCCCAAAACATACAAGTACAGGGGAAACGTAAAACACAACGTGCATACGCGAACCCCGCAAGTATAGAGAAAAAAGGGCAGGAAAAATTCCCCGTTTGGCGGGAAAATTATATCCAAGCGTAGCTACCGCAACGCCCCATAAAAGCACAGTTTATTAGAGAATAAACTATAATAAATATCACCGAATATTCGAGGAACGCTTCAGCAGTAGGATACACGTCTTGCTAACGCAAGCGAAGGAGACAAGAGTGAAGGGTGTCACATGGCAGCTAGGTGGCTACGCACGTGCTGCATGAGGTAATTGAGATCTCTTTGGTAGATTTCGCTATAGCAGCAGTTGTGGGAGACAACAGCCTCGGTATAACAGTGGTAACGTATTACTTAATGTAATAAACATGATAGTCAAATCTTCTCATATGACTACAGCTTATCTGACATGGCTGGTGGGTATTGCAACACACAGCCTTCCAATTGTTGGCATTCTTTAACTTGTTCTGAGTAGTATATATAATAATAGAACGGAGTTTTAATACCCTGGATAATAGAGGATGAGCACTGTATGACCATTGGTTGTGGATTTTACAACATTTCAAATAGAACCCTGAAGACGTACAATAACAATGTACTCAGAAGCAGTAGCCATATTGCTACATCCTCCTCATCGTCTAAAGGTGCCGCCACTCACCCTCTTCAATGACTTTCCCTGCATCATCTAGCATGCCCTCTATCTCACAGCCCCGGACGTAGGCCAGGCCCACTTGTGGGATGAAGGGCTCCTTGTGTTTGTACTGGTACCCGATGGTCACGGATGGACGCAGGGTCACCAGGAAGGCGACGTCATGCTTCCTTAAACCTGGTAACAGTGCAGTGTTGGATCAGAATTAGTGCCATTAAGCAAGGTTGTTTGTTAATTGTTTAACACCACACTCAGCAATATTCCAGCTGCATCAAGACAGCTGACATTGATTGTTGAGTGCATACCGATTCCGGGGTAATAATAGCACTTTGAGCATGCCCCTGTGTGGTGTGAAAATATTCGCAATATATATGGCCAATTATTATTATTATTATTATTATTGATGATGATGATGACAACCTGTAAATATCCAGTCAGGACCGTGATCGATATTATGAGCAACAATCAATGCCATTGGGGTACGACGACCAAGTTTGACCACCTGAGCCCCATTCCACAAAGTGATCATAGCACTACGACTGTCATGAGCTAAAGTATGGGAGTTGAGATCACTTCAGTGGTAGGATTGCTTTGTGGACAGACCCTTGATCCAAGTCAAAATGCATCCAGACACTGTACCGTTTTCCTTCCATGCCTGCAACACTTATGTTAGACAAGTAAAGATGTCAGTTATCTCCCCTGGTCCATGCTCAAGTATACCTGACCCCACACAATGCAGTGAGCAATACAGATCCCCATGGTCCCCTGTATGGTAATCTACCTTTGGTTGCTGGCGATCTATAGCCCAGTTTTATGTTGTACCTTCTAATAACAGTTATAACTTTTTAATGCTCCAATATGTGTTCTAAATATAATCTGTGATAATCTAGTTATTGTACTGTCCATCATCGACAAGTTTTTGTATGTTATTACTTTATAACTTGTTCTAGTTGCGATATGGTTGAAATACTGCCAATGTGAATTTTGCTCTCTCACTCCCAACTCACTCACTCACTTACTCCCAACTCACTCCCAACTCACTCACTCACTCACTCACTCTACATCCTGTGTTTACCTTCCCACTCCCACTTGACTTCGGGCCTGACACTCAGGTTGAGGGAGATGTCTGCTCGCACCTGGGCTGGGTGGTTCTCTCCAATCAGGGGCTTGGCAACCTGTCAAACCAACCATAGACATCACATCAGACTGCCCTATACTCAATGTGGACCTTGAACTGTCATACTGAACAGAATGACAGAACAGCGGGGAGGATAACTTTCAAATTTCTCAACCGCACCATGACCCATTAGCCAAGGACAATGGTACAAAATGAAATATTTGTGATAACTTCACCACCAAGCAGACCAGATATGACTTACACATCATACTTCCTACACAACAAGTGGCCTAGTCATCAAAGGTGCCACAATTCCCTTACCGTATTCGAGGTAATAAGCGCCCAGGGCGCTCTAAAAATTAGGAATAGGGGTCTCTTATAAGAATATTATTTTGGTGAAAGATAAATTTCGTGGTTTATGCTGACAGCCTGAAATGTTGATGGACGACAGATATATTTTTCAAGAATTTAATTGCCGATAATTAAAGGTGCATATAACACACGATTGTGTATTATACGCGAATAAATAAGTCTTGTGTACATTGATCAATCGGAAGGGGTGCTAATTGGGATTGTTCACTAGACAATATATAGCAAATATCGCCGTGGGCGCTTATTAGAGCGGGGCGTTTATTACGTCGAATGCGGTAATTCCCTTAGGTTATCTGTTGACCTCTCTTGTTAGTTTCCACCTTTGTTATCTTATTACTTTTGTTGTCCTTCCATGTACTTATATATGCTCTCTGCCTCATAGCATTCATTCCCCTGATGAAGGAGTAAGCATATACTCCGAAAAACATTGTGTTTCTTCATAACAAAGAAGTTGACGTCCATAAATTCTCTTCCTTATGTGTATCACTTCTAAATGCCATTCAAAGACTTCTCTTAGGGATGCTAGGAACTATAATCAAGATTTGATTCCTAGAATTGCCCTGATAATGTTTCTACGTTTTTGTCAGCACCACCTGCGCTGGTGGCTTTCACCAAGGCGTTACACATCTTAGGCCAACATCACTTCATTATTTCCTCACACATCAATCTGACATGCCATGACTTAACTGTAACTCTGTTCGCTGTTAAACCCAAATCCTCAAACACAAAAAACAAATAGGCAAGATTTGATTACTATCTTTATCACAACAGTAGGGAGATATTCAAAGGCACAAACCTCCACCACGTTGAAAGCAACAATAGGCTGTGCCATTCTTGCCCAGCCCCCAAACAAACAATGCCCATCTTCTGCTCTCCTGAAATGAAAACAAAGATACGTTGTAACCATTTAATCACGCTTCTTTCTACTACAACACACATAATACTGAGAGACTTTCTTGCCCTAGAGGGGCGGTCGGGTAGCCTAGTGGTTCAAGCGTTCGCTCGTCACACCGAAGACCCGGGTTCGATTCCCACATGGGTACAACGTGTGAAGCCAATTTCTGGTGTCCCCCGCCATGATATTGCTGGAATATTGCTAAAAGCGGCGTAAAACCATACTCACTCACTCACTCACTCTTGCCCTAGATTTCCCACAAAGTGTATTAACACCTATAACCTGGGTTATTTGTTGCTGATCTTAGTAAAATCTTAGTAAAATCTAAATATTTTTTACATTTGTATACTTATCCTGCATTACTCCGTATTGCATTTACTGCTATGTTTGACAGAGAGACGAACTGTGTGAGATCCAGCTGCTGAAGAAAGTTGTCCCAACCAGCCCAGGAGGCAGCGCCCTCCCACAGTCGGCACGTGACCCGGAAGTCATGACGTCACACAAAAAGACATAACTGCTTTAAACATAACATCTGAAACTTCGTGGGGAGGTAGCGTAGCAAAAGGGAGGGCACTTAGACTTCGTAATGCAGGATAAGTATACAAATGTAAAAAATATTTAGATTTTACTAAATTTTTTAACTTATCCTGCATTACTCCGTATTGCATCTTTATCAGACGGCTTGGCCGGTGGGCATACTTGCAGATGTGAACCATATTAAACCCTCGTCAAGGTCCGATGAATTCGCACCGCATACAAGTGATGACCGGAACATCTACGACCATTCCTGTCTTCAGGAAACAAGAGTCGATGCAAAAACGAAACGCCCGAATAGGTAACCGAAATACAATGAGGCGTGTAGCCAAAATATATAACTTACCGAAGAGCGAAAGCGAAACGCAGTAGAACCTAGAGCTAATCTGAGGTGATAAACACCAGAGAGTTCGACGGGCCCCGCTCGGGGAATCGAAGAATCAGCGGCGTCGGCGGCAAAATCTACGACCAATCCCAAGAGCGAATGCGAAACGCAGGAGAGCCCTCTAGGCTGGAGGCAAGGAACACCGGTGAGGTCGACGGGCACCGCCCAGGTACCAGAGAAGCAGCGGCGTTGGCGTCGGCGCCGGTGTCCACATCTACTACCATTCCTGTCGTCAGGAAACGAGAGTTGATGCAAAAAGTAAAACCCGGATAGGTGACAGCAATAGAATGAGTCGGGTAACCCAAAACTAAAACTGACCTAAGAGCGAATGCGGAACGCAAGAGAGCCGTCTCGTCTGGGGTGATAAACACCAGAGAGGTCAACGGGCCCCGCTCAGGGTATCGGAGAATCAGTGGCGTCGGAGATAGATGACCTGTTGGGCTACAACCAGGGACCAAAACTTTGAACGCCGGCGACAACTTTCAAGGCTACATCACGGAAGTAGTGGTTGGTGAAGGCGGTGTCCGATCGCCACGAACAGGCTTCCCTGAACGACGGGATGGAACAGTATACCGTGAAGAACCAGTGTAAATACGATCGCCCTGATCTCATTTTATTTCAGGTAATAGCCTTTGGGGGGAGGGTCCAATCCGGCGGCTCATACGCTTTAAGGATGACCGCCCGGAGCCACAGGGAAAAGTATTCCGGCTGACCAACGACAGCGACGAAGGGGAGACCGGCAGAAAAAGGTGTTTCCTAGACTTGCGGCAGTCTTTAGATCGTAGAATAACCTTCAGTGCCCTTACTGGGCATAATGACGCTCATCCTCATCCTCGGCACCCGCACTGGACGAGGGGGGAGGGGACAAGGAATGATCTATCAGGCTGTCCTGGGAGTTGAGTCTTTACGCTGACGTCCCAGTACGGTCCATGATGAACGGCGCCCTGGGTACCGCATTCGAACCGGGCATGGGAGACGTCGAGGGCGTGCTGTACATGGACTCGAGCGGCAGTAGTCAAAACCAGTAGAAACACCCGTCTTCTACTTAAGGTCGTAGAAGGAAGACGAGGGGAGTGGTTCGAAGGGCGTTGAAGACCACATTCAGATCCAACGCAGGCGGTCCAAACTTGGTCTTCAGGTCTTCAAGACTGAACGAGCGCAGCCAGGCCCGTAGGTCGGGAATTTTCGTCTTTCTCCGATCGTCCGGGATGGCCAGAACGGAGTAGATGGCGACCAGGTATGTGGGGGTGGTAACCCCTTCAACCGATGGGTGCTACACAAGTACAGAAGGAACTGATCCAGGATCTGCGGTGACGCTGTCATCGGATCCTGGTGTTTGTCAGAACAAAATGCCTGGAACAAGCATCATTTATCAGCATACAGTCCCCCTGTAAATGGACGTTGGGCTGAAGCAATAGCCTTGGTCGCTCTAGCCGAATAGCCCTTGGCTTTCTGCATGTGTGTCAGGCGTGCAGACGATAACATGCGGGTATGAGGGTGTGGCTTCTCATTCTAACAGACCGTGTGGATGGAGCAGAAGGTTGGACCACACCGGAAGTTCCAGGGGTTGTCTCTGGCTATGTTTCGGAGGTCGATAACCCAACTTCTGGCTGACCAATAAGGCGAGACAAAAGTCAATGGCAGGGGTCGAGTGGCCTGGATCTCTGAAGAACCGTGGGAGGGAGAACCGGAGTCGGAAAAGCGTACGCGCGTAATCCTTCTCAGGAACGATGGAAGGCTTCGACTGCCACAGCGGTCGTATCCGGCACAGGTGGAATGGAAGACGACAGCTGGCCACATTCAGATATGAGGCAAACAGATCTAGGGTTGGGGTGTCGACCGTTTCACATAGTCTGGCCCGAGGCGCCGGAGAGCGTGAGGTGTCGGAGAGCTTGAGGCGCCTGGAACGCCGAAGATGGTGATTCTCGGGTGCGCCGGTCGAGTTTGTGGCGCCGGGAGAGGGGCGAGAACTCTGGGTCCGCAAACACCACACTACGGTGACGTCGTCAGTGGACACGATCAACAGGGCGTGACCGAGAATGCACTGTCAGCAAGTGCCGTCCTGGATAAGCATTTATCTCGAGGCTGTTGCTGTGCCAATGGTGTTGATCTCTGGATCACAGGTGGTCACAATGTGGGCTGGCGTGGGCCACTAGCCACTGACAAGGTGGCAGGGGAGGTAGTCAGCAACAGGGGTCTGCGATTGCGTACCGTCGGTACGATTCGGAAAAAGGTGTGATCGCCTGCGAGCCAACCTCAAGTAGACGAAGTAAACCAGCTTCACAATCGACCGCCGGGGCATCGACGTAACCGGGTAGTAGGAAGTCGAGGCAATATGGCCATTGCACGAAGTAATGAGATCGTTTTCATCCCTGAAGCGGCGTATAAGTACTCCTGTTCTTATATCGAGGTGACGATGGAGGACGACAACACGATACGAGGCAGGTATGCAACAGGGGTCAGTGGGACGGCCGAGGGACTTTAAGTATCAAATCGACACTGTGTCCGGTAGTCAAGGCGGAAGATAGGAAGGTGTCGTAGTCGAAAAGATCAAACCGGACGAAGGAAGGCGATCTCTTCCATCCCTTGAACACCTATAGGCGCTATCGTTCTTATAGCGAAGGGTTGATGAAACAAGGTTCCTCGTGACTTCCTTTTTGTTGGTAGAGGAGGTCTATTGTTTCCAACATCCGTGCATGGATGGACTGCGACAGGCGCCTGGTTGAGTGGTATCACCAAGCGTACAGGTAGACATGGAAACCAATCTGTAGAAATACATGGCACCCCTTGCCATGGTAAGTTGACCTAAATCCGGTCGGAGTTGTTGACAGTCCGAGTACTTGACACGTGACATGTAAATCACTCTGCGCAGTAGCCGAGAAAACCGCCTTGGAGTCGGAACTGAGGTGCAAACTCCACACACAGACAATCCTCAATGAACTGTGTGAGAGACGATCAAGTGGTGTACCCGAGTTTTGCGATAAAACACGGAACCCCATGGGCGTCGTGCAAAACCCGGGGAGCGCCGAGGAAGAGTCTCTCTCAGGAACGCTGGCGCTAGGGTAGGGTAGAACAGCGTTGATGTCTGCGATGTCGACGAAGTAAACTCTTTGTAAGTGGATGTCGTCGTCGAATCTGATACAGACGCTGTTCACATGACGCTCTGTTTCGATGGAAACCCGCAGGTCATCTCTCCGGAATCATAGCGCTTTAAACGACGGGATTATGGATAACGTCTCAGTGGGCAAGTTGAATCAGACCAACTGTCTATTGGTTGAAATGATTCCACCCAGGAAGTAGAACGATATTTACGATCCCGAAGACCGACGGGAGAGTAGCGAAAGGAGCGGCGACAGTTGTTTCACCATGCTTCTCCGTGTGACGAGTTATGAGACGGCAGCAAGAGAAGAGGGCAGTGGCGCCGGGGAGGCGATTGCCGATGATGCCCCTTAAGCCGCAGTAGAAGATCGGATGGTCGGCTCGTTGATCTGAGCTTGATAAAGCTTGTTGATCTGAAGCTTGTTGAGCGCCGAAGACATCAGAGGATGCGGAGGCGCCGGAGCGCGGAGACATCAGCGGCGCCGGTGGCGCCGAGTCATCGGAGGCGCCGAGTCAACAGCTTGTCATGAACAAGTCATGAAGCTTGTTGAGCGCCGAGACATCAGCGGCGCCGAGTCATCAGCTTGTCATGAACAAGTCATGAAGCTTGTTGAGCGCCGAGACATCAGCGGCGCCGAGTCATCAGAGGCGCCGGAGGCGCCGTGTCATCAGAGGCGCCGGAGGCGCCGGGAGCGCCGAGACATCGGAGGCGCCGAGTCATCAGAGGCGCCGGAGGCGCCGCATCATCAGAGGCGCCGGGAGCGCCGTGTCATCAGAGGTGCCGGGAGCGCCGGGAGCGCCGGGAGCGCCGTGGGCGCCGTGAGCGCCGTGAGCTCCGTGAGCGCCGTGTCATCAGAGGCGCGGGAGGCGCCGCGTCATCAGAGGCGCCGGGTCATCGGAGGCGCCGGGAGCGCCGTGTCATCAGAGGCGCCGTGAGCGCCGTGAGCGCCGTGAGCGCCGTGAGCGCCGTGAGCGCCGTGTCATCAGAGGCGCCGGAGGCGCCGCGTCATCAGAGGCGCCGAGTCATTGGAGGCGCCGGGGGCGCCGGGGGCGCCGGAGACATCAGCGTTGACGGTGTTGGAGACCGTGAACGGTCGTATGTCGTGCCAGGGGAGGCAGACTCTACGTTGGGAGCGCTGGAGCCGCCGGTGGAGTAGGAGACCGTGAACGGTCGTATGTCGTGCCAGGGGAGGCAGACTCTACGTTGGGAGCGCTGGAGCCGCCAGTGGAGTAGGAGACCGTGAACGGTCGTATGTCGTGCCATGGGAGGCAGACTCTACGTTGGGAGCGCTGGAGCCGCCAGTGGAGTAGGAGACCGTGAACGGTCGTATGTCGTGCCATGGGAGGCAGACTCTACGTTGGGAGCCGCCGTGAAGCTCCGCTGAGCGCTGCTGCCGTCAACGTAGGTGGGGGTCGACGAGCACGTTGAGCGAGGTGTGTCCTGGATACTCGCATGAGCTGAAGGATCACAGCTACGAATGACTGCAACATCGGCACTGCCTTGTGAAAGTACAGGGCGTCGTACAATCACGGCAGAAAGGGGCGGCCCCGACCAGATTTGTTCCCGCGGAAACAAGTGCAGCGAGGCAGAAAATCTGGAATTTAAGCAAAACATAACTATGTGGCAAAGCCACAAAGTGCGGGAAGCATAATGTGTGGCCAATCACAAAGTATGGGAAGCATAAAGTAACTCAAAAACAGTATATTTTATTAAAGTTTATGAGATAAACAAGTACGCTAAAAGGGAGCGAAAAGGCAAAGCCTTAAGCAAACACGTAACCATGTGGCAAAACCACAGAGTACGGGAGACATAATGTAACTCATAAACTTCGTATTATATTGAAGTTTATGAGAAGAAACAATTACGCTGAGAGGTAGCGAAAAGGCAAGGCTTTAAGCACACTAAAACAACATACATAAATGTAATGTATTACCCAAGCCAAAGAGAGAATTCAAAACGCAGAACACGACATTACGTGGCCACGTGGTGAATGGCCAAAATGGCGGGAAAGAAAACAAAATGGCGGGAACAACATTGCGCCCGTAAATTACTGTGACGTGAGCCACAGACGAGCGATAAACGTTACAATTTACGAATGGGAAGACCCTAAGGTCACGGCCCATATCAGGTAACAATGTAGCAGCATATAATGAATGTAGAAACACGCAAAATATAAAAAACAAATAATAAGCTTTAATTTCCACAAGGGATACAAAGTACGTCCGTCCGTGGAGGTGACAAAGCAGTTATGTCTTTTTGTGTGACGTCATGACTTCCGGGTCACGTGCCGACTGTGAGAGGGCGCTGCCTCCTGGGCTGGTTGGGACAACTTTCTTCAGCAGCTGGATCTCACACAGTTCGTCTCTCTGTCAAACATAGCAGTAAATGCAATACGGAGTAATGCAGGATAAGTTAAAAAATTAAATATTTCTTACATTCGTATACTTCTCCTGCTTTACTGTTTACCTTACGACAAAGAAAGACGGCGCTTCGCGATAGTCCTGGGCGTGTTTCCATATCCAGTCTACTTTTGCAGGATCCATCGCCACTGTCATGTGACAGATTGTGACATCACAACCAATTCACAGTCCTGGTCCTTGTTCTAAGTTGTGCTTCATTTAGCTCCTCCAACTTTGGTTTAATTTAGTGGTTAGCTTGCTGCTACCACATCAAATTTTGTCTACAATGGGTGATATATTCCTTTTCATATTATATTCACTTTAATGTGTATAACTATGGAGATGTTTTCCATGTGAAAAGTACCCGTGAAGATCCGGGGTAGAATAGGTCTTCAGCAACCCATGCTTGCTGTAAAAGACAACTATTCTTGTCGTAAGAGGCGACTAACGGGATCGGGTGGTCAGGCTCACTGACTTGGTTGATGCATGTCATCGATCGTAATTGCGTGGATTGATGCTCATGATATCAATCACTGGATTGTGTGGTCCAGACTCGATTATTTACAGACTGACGTCATATAGCTGGACAACACAAACAAATAAAACCAAACAATGTGAAAGACTTTGTCTCTGAGATGGAAACAACACTTCTTCTTCACCCAGGACCATCGTGAAGCACTGTCTTTCTTTGTCGTAAGGTAAGCAGTAGATGCATATAGGAGTAATGCAGGGTAAGTTAAAAATATATCTGCTTGGATGTGTTACATTCCGTGTGTGCTTCCAGAGGATTTAGGCTGAGTTTTAACAACTCACCATGGTTTCATGTGTGACACTGCATCTTCAATGTCTTGTCTGATTTCATCTGCAAAACAACAAACAGTCAGTAATTACACACCGGCACAACAGTAACCAATAACAGATGCACTTGAGATCAGATGTGACATCTAAGATTGATACGCATTCCTTGTATGTGAACTATTCCAAATATGGTGGCCATGTATGGCAAATAAGGCAAACCAGTGACTGTCAGGTAAATTGACACACCATCAGTGAACATAATGGAGTGACAAGCACAGGTACTGGAGATCTAACCCTACCCTATCCACCAGGTGACAAGCACACGTACTGGAGATCTAACGCTACCCTATCCACCAGGTGACAAGCACAGGTACTGGAGATCTAACACTACCCTATCCACCAGGTGACAAACACACGTACTGGAGATCTAACGCTACCCAATCCACCAGGTGACAAGCACACGTACTGGAGATCTAACGCTACCCTATCCACCAGGTGACAAGCACAGGTACTGGAGATCTAACTCTACCCTATCCACCAGGTGACAAACACAGGTACTGGAGATCTAACACTACCCAATCCCATGAGGTGACAAGCACAGGTACTGGAGATCTAACTCTACCCAATCCACCAGGTGACAAGCACAGGTACTGGAGATCTAACACTACCCAATCCACCAGGTGACAAGCACAGATACTGGAGATCTAACACTACCCAATCCACCAGGTGACAAGCACAGATACTGGAGATCTAACTCTACCCAATCCACCAGGTGACAAACACAGGCACTGGAGATCTAACACTACCCAATCCCATGAGGTGACAAGAGCAGGTACTGGAGATCTAACACTACCCAATCCACCAGGTGACAAGCACACGTACTGGAGATCTAACACTACCCAATCCCATGAGGTGACAAACACAGGTACTGGAGATCTAACTCTACCCAATCCCAGGAGGTGAAAAAAACATGTACTGGAGATCTAACCCTACCCAATCCCATGAGGTGACAAACACAGGTACTGGAGATCTAACTCTACCCAATCCCAGGAGGTGAAAAAAACACGTACTGGAGATCTAACCCTACCCAATCCCAGGAGGTGACAAACACACGTACTGGAGATCTAACTCTACCCAATCCCATGAGGTGACAAACACAGGTACTGGAGATCTAATTCTACCCAATCCCATGAGGTGACAAACATAGGTACTGGAGATCTAACCCTACCCAATCCCATGAGGTGACAAGCACAGCCACAGGTACTGGCGATCTAATTCTACCCAATCCCTTGAGGTGACAAGCATAGGTACTGGAGATCTAACCCTACCCAATCCCAGGAGGTGAAAAAAACACGTACTGGAGATCTAACCCTACCCAATCCCATGAGGTGACAAACACACGTACTGGAGATCTAACACTACCCAATCCCATGGGGTGACAAACACACATACTGGAGATCTAACTCTACCCTATCCCAGGAGGTGACAAACACACATACTGGAGATCTAACTCTACCCTATCCCATGGGGTGACAAACACACATACTGGAGATCTAACACTACCCTATCCCATGGGGTGACAAACACACATACTGGAGATCTAACTCTACCCTATCCCATGGGGTGACAAACACACATACTGGAGATCTAACTCTACCCTATCCCATGGGGTGACAAACACACATACTGGAGATCTAACTCTACCCTATCCCATGGGGTGACAAACACACATACTGGAGATCTAACTCTACCCTATCCCATGGGGTGACAAACACACATACTGGAGATCTAACTCTACCCTATCCCATGGGGTGACAAACACACATACTGGAGATCTAACACTACCCTATCCCATGGGGTGACAAACACACATACTGGAGATCTAACTCTACCCTATCCCATGGGGTGACAAACACACATACTGGAGATCTAACACTACCCTATCCCAGGAGGTGACAAACACACATACTGGAGATCTAACTCTACCCTATCCCATGGGGTGACAAACACACATACTGGAGATCTAACTCTACCCAATCCCAGGAGGTGACAAACACACATACTGGAGATCTAACACTACCCTATCCCAGGAGGTGACAAGCACAGGTACTGGAGATCTAACACTACCCTATCCACCAGGTGACAAGCACAGGTACTGGAGATCTAACTCTACCCTATCCCAGGAGGTGACAAGCACAGGTACTGGAGATCTAACACTACCCTATCCACCAGGTGACAAGCACAGGTACTGGAGATCTAACTCTACCCAATTCCATGAGGTGACAAGCACAGGTACTGGAGATCTAACCCTACCCAATCCCAGGAGGTGACAAACACACGTACTGGAGATCTAACTCTACCCAATCCCATGAGGTGACAAACACAGGTACTGGAGATCTAACTCTACCCAATCCCATGAGGTGACAAACACAGGTACTGGAGATCTAACTCTACCCTATCCCAGGAGGTGACAAGCACAGGTACTGGAGATCTAACACTACCCTATCCACCAGGTGACAAGCACAGGTACTGGAGATCTAACTCTACCCAATTCCATGAGGTGACAAGCACAGGTACTGGAGATCTAACACTACCCTATCCACCAGGTGACAAGCACAGGTACTGGCGATCTAATTCTACCCAATCCCTTGAGGTGACAAGCATAGGTACTGGAGATCTAACCCTACCCAATCCCATGAGGTGACAAACACAGGTACTGGAGATCTAACTCTACCCTATCCCATGAGGTGACAAACACACGTACTGGAGATCTAACCCTACCCAATCCCAGGAGGTGACAAACACAGGTACTGGAGATCTAACTCTACCCTATCCCATGAGGTGACAAACACACGTACTGGAGATCTAACCCTACCCAATCCCAGGAGGTGACAAACACACGTACTGGAGATCTAACACTACCCTATCCCATGGGGTGACAAGCACAGGTACTGGAGATCTAACACTACCCTATCCACCAGGTGACAAGCACAGGTACTGGAGATCTAACTCTACCCAATTCCATGAGGGGACAAACACAGGTACTGGAGATCTAACTCTACCCAATCCCAGGAGGTGACAAACACACGTACTGGAGATCTAACACTACCCTATCCCATGGGGTGACAAGCACAGGTACTGGAGATCTAACACTACCCTATCCACCAGGTGACAAGCACAGGTACTGGAGATCTAACTCTACCCAATTCCATGAGGGGACAAACACAGGTACAGGGCCTAGATTTTTGAAACGATCTTAGCGAACTTACGTTCAAAGATAAGATATCTTATAAGATAAGATAGATTTTCGAAACTATCGGAAACCTGTCGCAGATCGTTTACAGTTACGATCTATCGTAACTCTGACAGAGAACTCATTTGTGTTAGAGATTGAAAAATCGGGGTGTTTCCCAATGATGTCACTGGGATTTCCCAGCCCTAGATTTTCCACAAAGTGTATAACACCTGTAACCTGGGTTATTTGTTGCTGATATTAGTAAAATCTAATAATTTTAGGGCTGCGTTCGTTTCGAAAGTCTGTGCCCTGGAGATCTTAGCTGCATCAGAATCCCCACAGGGGGTACTCACATGTGGACTCGAGTCTGAAGAGGTTGAAGTTCTTGAGGAGGTAGTCATGGAGAGTCAGGAACTGGAGGTTCAGCTTGGGCAATGCCAGGCAGCCTGGAGACACAACACACACGTGTGTTTGTTGTTAATAACACCACACTCACCAGGGCCCCGTTCCACAAAGTGATCTTAGCGCTAAGTTGATTGTAACTCACTGAGAATGCGATCTTAAATTTTTGTTACGATCAGCCGCCCGTTCCAAAAGTGATTTTAGCGCTAAGTTGATTGTAACTCACTAAGAATGCGATCTTAAGTTTTTGTTACGATCAGCCGCCTGTTCCACAAAGCAATCTTAACTAAGAGAGTTGTAAGTTAAGATCAAAATGCTAAGTTGCTCCGGACCTACTTAGGATTGCTAAAATCGATCTTAAATATTGTACCATAACAACAAAGATGGCGACTTTTATTATGGTGTGCAAGGAAATGCGTCGTCTGCTAAACATGACCAAGGGAGGCCACTCTAAGGGAAACTTTCGTATCTTCATGGCTGAAGATTCCGATCTTTGTTAAGATCGGCTACTTAAGAACTTGAAAAGTTACAATCGCCCTAAGATCGCTTTGTGGAACGGTTGTACACTTTAGCTAAGACAATTTTAAAATCAACGTAAGTCTCTAAGATTGATTGTAGTTATAATCGCTTTGTGGAACGGGGCCCATTATTCAAGCTATATGATGTCTCCCTGTAAATTATCAAATCTGGACCAGGCAATCTAGTGATTCAAATTATGAGCATTGATCCATGCAAGAGAAACTATGTGGATTTGTCAGATCCTGTCAAATTTTCAAGGTCAGTGACACCGAAACTTGCTTTCACTAATTAGATGAATTTTGAAACACACTTGTACAAAAACTGGTATCTTACCTTCTCCTGAGAAAAACTCTGTGGGTACGATGTTCTCGTCCCAGATGATGTCTTCCGTGGGGTACAGTGGCATGTCATTGATCTCCTCCAGCTGAGATGGGTGACGTTCATGCTTTGACACCTACCAGGACAGTTAAATAACACATCAAAAGAAAGAATAATCCTACACCTATGACATTGTACTACAACCTTCAATTCCTACAGGGGCGGTCGGGTAGCCTAGTGGTTAAAGCGTTCGCTCGCCACGCCGAAGACCTGGGTTCGATTCCCGACATGGGTACAATGTGTGAAGCCCATTTCTGGTGTCCCCCGCCGTGATATTGCTGGAATATTGCTAAAAGCGGCATAAAACCAAACTCACTCACTCACTCACTCAATTCCTACAGTCCAGATGATGGACAGTTATCAGAAATAACCTTAATGAGAAATGTGTCACATGTTCTTCCGGCATATATTAAGTCAAGATTCCAAGATGGACTAATACCCAGCCTTGATACACCCTTACATTTTTTCCAATATGGCTGCAACTGGCTGTTTTCAGTTTTCATGCTTTGAACACATATGGGAATACTTATACAGAAAACTATGCAAATTCAAAGTACTGGGGACAATCAAAATAGATAGTTATCTGGGTGTAGTGACGATCACCTTAGAACTAAGATTGTTTTGCACAACGGCAGCCAGGGTTGGAGGCTACTGCGTCAATGTTAGACCATGGATTAAGATTCTGCTGGGCCCAGAAACATAATAAAGTCATGTTATTTCGCACCAAGTTGACGGAGTCGGAGCTAACAGGGTTTCGCTGCAGTGTTCACTTCCCCTCACTTCTTCTTGAAACAACTGGGTCCAGGGCGATCGTAGTGCTACGAATGTCGTAAGTCTATGTTGAGGTATAAGAGTTACGATCACCACAGCGCTACGATTGCTTTGAGGAATGGGGCCCTGGTGTACACATTGTTCACGCTCCTTTTAATCAGCATTGTTTCTTGGCACACTATATTGCTGGAATACTGAGAGGTACTCTGACACAATATTGCTGGAATACTGAGAGGTACTCTGACACAGTATTGCTGGAATACTGAGAGGCACTCGGACACAGTATTGCTGGAATACTGAAGGGTACTCTGACACAATATTGCCAGAATACTGAGAGGTACTCTGACACAGTATTGCAGGAATACTGAGAGGTACTCTGACACAGTATTGCTGGAATACTGAGAGGTACTCTGACACAATATTGCTGGAATACTGAGAGGTACTCTGACACAATATTGCCAGAATACTGAGAGGTACTCTGACACAATATTGCTGGAATACTGAGAGGTACCCTGACACAGTATTGCTGGAATACTGAGAGGTACTCTGACACAATATTGCTGGAATACTGAGAGGTACTCTGACACAGTATTGCTGGAATACTGAGAGGTACTCTGACACAGTATTGCAGGAATACTGAGAGGTACTCTGACACAGTATTGCTGGACTACTGAGAGGTACTCTGACACAATATTGCAGGAATACTGAGAGGAACTCTGACACAGTATTGCCGGAATACTGAGAGGTTCTCTGACACAATATTGCTGGAATACTGAGAGGTACTCTGACACAGTATTGCAGGAATACTGAGAGGTTCTCTGACACAGTATTGCTGGAACACTGAGGGGTACTCTGACACAATATTGCTGGAATACTGAGAGGTTCTCTGACACAATATTGCTGGAATATTGTGAGGTACTCTGACACAGTATTGCCGGAATACTGAGAGGTACTCTGACACAGTATTGCCGGAATATTGAGAGGTACTCTGACACAGTATTGCCGGAATACTGAGAGGTACTCTGACACAGTATTGCAGGAATATTGAGAGGTACTCTGACACAGTATTGCTGGAATACTGAGAGGTACTCTGACACAGTATTGCAGGAATACTGAGAGGTTCTCTGACACAGTATTGCTGGAATACTGAGGGGTACTCTGACACAATATTGCTGGAATACTGAGAGGTTCTCTGACAAAATATTGCTGGAATATTGAGAGGTACTCCGACACAGTATTGCCGGAATACTGAGAGGTACTCTGACACAGTATTGCCGGAATATTGAGAGGTACTCTGACACAGTATTGCCGGAATACTGAGAGGTACTCTGACACAGTATTGCAGGAATACTGAGAGGTACTCTGACACAATATTGCTGGAATATTGAGAGGTACTCTGACACAGTATTGCCGGAATACTGAGAGGTACTCTGACACAGTATTGCCGGAATACTGCTCAAGGCAGCATACTGCAACCTACTAACATCAAGCTTATTGCCCCGAGATGGACAAGAATACTGAGATACACAACTGTGCACATTGATAAAACAAGATTATTATGAACATTAGACAATTAGTGGTCAGATACAGTGTGGGAATGTCAGCCTCACCATGAGATGCACCATGAATTCCGTGTTGTACACATCCTTCTGGCCCTCCTCTGGGTAGGGAAGGTAATTCAGTAGGGCCAGGATCTTGTGCAGGTCCATGTTACTAGGAGACAGAGAGAAGTATTGTTGAGTTTATTTAGATCTAGGGGTGAAATGATACAGCAAGGTCATGATACAATACGTACCACAATATATAGGTAACGATATGACACATATCGTAATATGCATATTTACGTCAAATCATGTGGAAACGTCTCGACTAGAAATATTTCAGAGCAGGTTCAAAAGGAAAAGCTAGCTGTAGACAAATGTCATGGCGGCTATTTTTAGTACTGAACTTGAAACACTAATTACAACACATTTTGAGATATTTGACTGACAAAAAAGGTAGGTGTCATTAAACGTGCATAAGTAAATTCTTTTAGCAAGTGTTTTGTCTTGTATTGATACGGAATAAAACGTATGATGTATCATATTGTAGCATGAATATTTGGTGCACTGATGTATCGTTTCACCCCTATTTAGATCTATGTCTGCGCTACACTTAGACTGCCGCACATGAGCAGATGTAGTGACACAGCAAGGCTGCATCCAATTTACTAAGTGACAATTCATCTTTCTCATCAATTGCCAGAAAACCCTGTGTCATTCTTCTGAACAGAATCTGAACAACAGAAAATTATACAGGGTCCATTCTTGTTAGATAGAAAGTTCACGAGTTTCGTAAAAATGGTATCTAACGAGAATGAGTGTGGTATATTATTTATTACCCATTTTAAATATATATTTAATTGTAGATACATAACGACTTTCGCTCGTTGACAGACCAAACTGAAACCGGTTGCAAAATCTGGTTGTGCATGAATATTGATATATGCCCAAATATGAGCCTGCAGTTGTGTTTGCAAACATAAAAGCACCGACGCTCAAAATCCTTTTGGAAGAATTCATGGTAATTCAAGCGCCATGTTGTTAGTACACTGGTCAGCTATAAGAAAATTTGAAAAGTCACATTAGCGCAGTGCTTTGAATATAGGTCCAACAGTCTGTCACTCGCACTGCCGGGGTCCCGGCTGTGCAATCAACATGGTTTAGTATCCTTGATCTGTCAACTGAACTTATATCATGTCCGTACCATTTTGGATGAGGGAAATCAGAGTGTTCGCCAAAGATGCTCATGTTAACTGTACGGCCCTATACTGAAGACGTGAAAATCAACAAACTCAAGTCTGCTTACATGTCAGTGACAGCTTCAAACGATCGAAGGGCAAGGTCACCACCAGAATAAGAAAAGACAACCGTGATCTCACTGCGTTTTACGCTAGAGATAGGGAATGTTATTGTTCACATTTGGGATATTTTGAGCCACATCATCAGAAATCAGGCACATTTCTACTGAGTTTTCGAATGCTTGTATCGGAAATGTTAACTTTGAGCGATCTGATCGTGCAGTCATGAACAAACAATTCCCGAAACAGTGCCACAAAATACGCTTCAAAGGGGACACTGATGGCACAACCGGATCATCCCAAGTAAGTCTAGGTATCTGTCCATATAGTTGAAACTGACTTCATTTCACCACGCTAATACTTTTATGTTAAATCAGATTGAAAGTTGTGAAAATGGTCAGGTGCGTCAGGCTCATTGGTACCCTTGATCTATTGATCGGTAGTCGTACATTGTAAATGGATATAGCTGCTCCATTATATAATGTCTGTAGGAGCTCTGTGCATAACTTATATAGAATGCAAACCGAATTTCATGAGTGTGACTATCTTGTTTCGTTTAATAAAGTGTTTGTAAATATCTCTCGCTCTCATGAGATTGCTTCAGTTCTGCCTTGTACATGTAGTTGCAAAATGAATGACATCTCGCGATTCTTTATGAATGAAAAAAGTAGTCCCAGTGTGACAGAGGTCACGCTTATCCAATCAAAACGAATAAAACAAGTAACCTTGTACGACACACGTGTGACGTACAGATTTAGTATCTTACTACCTGTATCTTCACCACATGGGTAATAAACAACAATACAAAACAAATGTGAAACCCTGCAACAGACAGCCCCAACAACATGGCGAGCCAGCGGTGCTACCTGAGAGGCTGGAAGTGTTTGAAGAGGTTCTGTCTGGTGTCCACACTGGCCACATTAGAGATGGCGAAACTCTGCAGGTCGGGGAAATGCTGGAACACTACTTTCTGAAACACAGGAGCAAGTATTGAAGGAAATTTAGAAAGTAGCTATTATCTTCTTGCTTATTCAACATTCCAAACTCTAACTGTAGAGAGTTAGGATTCAGCTGTTCGCAACTGCTGGTAAAAAACTGAAGTTATTTCATCAGCATTTGGATAACCCTCTTGAGGGCCCCTCCAAGACCATATCCTTAAAGTCCCCAAATTACACATTTTCAGATACTGAGCATGCACGTAATTGACATAATAATTCAGCTCATTAATTTTTATGGTAATAAAATTTGGTAGTATAAGGCAAATAATTTTCCCTAGCCTCAGGTTTATGTGATAGGGTAGGTGTTGCACACTGCTATTGTGAAAAATGAGTGTCTTAAAACGTTCTTTAAGGCTAAAAAAATAGTCTTGGTTCTCAGGCACTGCCTGCATCATTATAAAGTCTGCTGCGTGATTCATTTTTTTTTCATTTTAAAAAAAAAAAAAAAAAAATAGCACTCAGTTTCTTCCCTTTACATGAGCATTTTTTTACTGTGCATCTCGTGATATGGTATGTATACTTGTTTATGTAAGAAGGCCCTTTCCCAAGTTGATAGCACACAACTGTTTATTTGGTCACATACTAGTTTGAACAAGCATAGCACTAAATCACATAGAACAGAACGCCACATCACGTCAGGAGATGATGGAAATACATGTATACACAATTGTTTATCAATTAGCTCAAAATATAGCACACAAACTTAGCAATTATAATCCTTTGTGTACAAATGTTTAACCCATATGTGGTGAATATACTTTAGAAATTGAACATGTTAAATATTATTAGCACTGACTGATTACTGATACTTTCAAATGTTGACAATGTTTCTATCCTGTTTGTTTCCACACTAGACTGTGTTTGGGCTGCGAGGATTTTAAAGCTCTGCACGCTAACGTCGAACCCCTTCGACAGAGGTGTCACTTCCCGTGCATCTGATGTCGAACCCATTCGAAAGGCGAATAGCATGACGACACCTCAAAATAAAACTCGCCATATCTATTTACCAAGAAGGCTTTGCGTAACATTTAAATTACGTTTGACATGCATAAATGCTCAGCTTGCTCAATATCAAAACTTTCAGTCATTTATTTACCTCAAAAAGAAAATATCGCGAGTTAAAAAAGTTTCGGCCAAACTTCTCGGCACACAACTCCCAGAAACGGCCATTGTTGACTTTTGGCACTTCACGTTGAGCGGCATGCAGTCCGATATTTTCTTTATAATTTCATCAGATAAGCATACTTTGTTTTCAATTACAAGATTTTAAATGTGGATTTAATACCTCTAAATTTCATTGGAAAATTAATGTGATAGCATGTGGTTTCGACCTTGAAAAATTTACAAATTTTAGCAAATTGGAGATCGAATGTACAGTAAGCAAGTATTCTTTTCATTTGAACAGTTGAACATTTATGTCTTGAAAACATTTTAATTTTGTTTTATTTGTTTGCTGTTTCACGTCGCACTCAGCAATATTACAGCTATATGATGGCGAACTGTAATTAATCGAGTCTGGAGCAGACAATCCAGTGATTGATATCAAGAGCATCGATCAAGCATGGGTTTCTGAAGACCTATTCTACCCTGCATCTTCAAGGGTCTAAAACAGATTAGCAGAGACCCTCAAGTAAAGGACTCCTCAGCGATAAAGAGTTGTCATTATGAGAAGAGCACTAGTTACCTGGAGTTTGGTGACTCGGTTGTAATGAAGGTCGATCCGGTCATGTACTGTCAGGGCCTCGCCGGTCTGCTCATCGATCTCGAACCCGCCATACACTGCCAGCATGTCAAGGAGCTGGAACACGAGTGAGTGAGTGAGTGAGTGAGTGAGTGAGTGAGTGAGTGAGTGAGTGAGTGGTCGGGTGGGTGAGTGAGTGGTCGGGTGGGTGGGTGAGTGAGTGGTCGGGTGAGTGAGTGAGTGAGTGAGTGAGTGAGTGAGTGAGTGAGTGAGTATGGTTTTACGCCGCTTTTACCAATATTCCATCAATATCACAGCGGGGGACACCAGAAATGGGCTTCACACATTGTACCCTTGTTGGGAACCGAACCCGGGTCTTCGGCGTGACGAGCGAATGCTTTAACCACTAGTCTACCCGACCGCCCATGGTAGAACATGTAGAGAACATTGCTAACTGTTCCTCGAATACCAAGATTGAAATATTAACTGACAAAACTTCTGATGTTCTGTTACCTGTCCATATAGCTTTCCCTCATCTCTCTTCCGGAGTTTGGAGAGTTTGCTGCGGACGATGACGTGAGCGCTGTCCATGAGGAGATTGAAGAAACGGCGAGTTGGGAGCTGAGCCTCAATGTCGATCATCAACTCCATGAATCTCTCACAGTACCTCACTTTTGTGTCATCCACTGGACCTGGAGGGTTGACAGAGAGCGAGGTATTGACAAAACACTTGAAGGCAATCTACTGTTGAAACATGAAAACACTGCCAGTTTTGTCTTGGACATATATCTTACCATGCTTAATGACAGAGAAAAGATGTGAATTTTCAGAAAAAAATATTTCGGAAGCCCATTAGAGCCATATCATGTTTTTTCTTTCTTTCTTGAACATTCAACGTGCTAATTTGAAAATCAAGATAACACTGAATCAGACAGGTCACAGTGACATACCTGACAGCTTAATACTGAATCAGACAGGTCACGGTGACATACATGACAGCTTAATACTGAATCAGACAGGTCACAGTGACATACCTGACAGCTTAATACTGAATCAGACAGGTCACGGTAACATACCTACGAGCTTAATACTGAATCAGCCAGGTCACAGTGACATACCTGACAGCTTAATACTGAATCAGACAGGTCACTGTGACATACATGACAGCTTAATACTGAGTCAGCCAGGTCACAGTGACATACCTGACAGCTTAATACTGAATCAGACAGGTCACAGTGACATACCTGACAGCTTAATACTGAATCAGACAGGTCACAGTGACATACCTGAGAGCTTAATACTGAATCAGACAGGTCACAATGACATACTTGAGAGCTTAATACTGAATCAGCCAGGTCACGGTGACACCCCTGAGAGCTTAATACTGAATCAGACAGGTCACAGTGACATACCTGATGGCTTAACACTGAATCAGCCATGTTACAGTGACATACCTGAGAGCTTAATACTGAATCATACAGGTCACAGTTACATAGCTGACAGCTTAATACTGAATCATACAGGTCACAGTTACATAGCTGACAGCTTAATACTGAATCATACAGGTCACAGTGACATACCTGAGAGCTTAATACTGAATAAGACAGGTCACAGTTACATACCTGAGAGCTTAATACTGAATCAGACAGGTCACAGTGACATACCTGATGGCTTAACACTGAATCAGCAATGTTACAGTGACATACCTGAGAGCTTAATACTGAATCATACAGGTTACAGTGACATACCTACGAGCTTAATACTGAATCATACAGGTCACAGTTACATACCTGAGAGCTTAATACTGAATCAGACAGGTCACAGTGACATACCTGATGGCTTAACACTGAATCAGCCATGTTACAGTGACATACCTGAGAGCTTAATACTGAATCATACAGGTCACAGTGACATACCTGAGAGCTTAATACTGAATCAGACAGGTCACAGTGACATACCTACGAGCTTAATACTGAATCATACAGGTCACAGTTACATACCTGAGAGCTTAATACTGAATCAGACATGTTACAGTGACATACCTGAGAGCTTAATACTGAATCAGACAGGTCACAGTGACATACCTACGAGCTTAATACTGAATCATACAGGTCACAGTGACATACCTGAGGGCTTAATACTGAATCAGCCATGTTACAGTGACATACCTGAGAGCTTAATACTGAATCAGACAGGTCACAGTGACATACCTGAGAGCTTAATACTGAATCAGACAGGTCACAGTGACATACCTGACAGCTTAATACTGAATCAGACAGGTCACGGTGACATACCTCAGGGCTTTATACTGAATCAACTGGTCACAATGACATACCTGAGAGCTTAATACTGAATCATACAGGTCACAGTGACATACCTCAGGGCTTAATACTGAATCAGACAGGTCACAGTGACATACCTCAGGGCTTAATACTGAATCAACTGGTCACAATGACATACCTGAGAGCTTAATACTGAATCAACTGGTCACAGTGACATACCTGAGAGCTTAATACTGAATCATACAGGTCACAGTTACATACCTGAGAGCTTAATACTGAATCAGACAGGTCACAGTGACATACCTGATGGCTTAACACTGAATCAGCCATGTTACACTGACATACCTGAGAGCTTAATACTGAATCATACAGGTCACAGTGACATACCTGAGAGCTTAATACTGAATCATACAGGTCACAGTTACATACCTGAGAGCTTAATACTGAATCAGACAGGTCACAGTGACATACCTACGAGCTTAATACTGAATCATACAGGTCACAGTTACATACCTGAGAGCTTAATACTGAATCAACTGGTCACAATGACATACCTGAGAGCTTAATACTGAATCAACTGGTCACAGTGACATACCTGAGAGCTTAATACTGAATCATACAGGTCAAGGTGACATACCTGAGAGCTTAAAACTGAATCAACTGGTCACAATGACATACCTGAGCAGTGAGGGCTTAACACTGAATCAACTGGTCACAATGACATACCTGAGCAGTGAGGGCTTAACACTGAATCAACTGGTCATTGTGACATACCTGAGGGCTGAACACTGAATCAACTGGTCATTGTGACATACCTGAGGGTTGTATAGAGTCCAGGATGGTAAAGTATGTGTTGATGAGTTTTGACAGGAATTCTCTCTCAAACTGGACCTTTTTTCTTTTATCGTCAGTCAGCTTCTGATCATTCTTTTTTATGGAGTTGAAGAACTTCTTGTATTTAGGATGATCTTGGAAAATTTCTTCTAGTCTGCCCTGTAAACAACCAATTTCATTTGACATAAGTGAATGACTTGAGGTTTCAAGCTATGTTTAAGTGAATGAGTGAGTTTTGTTTTGCACTGCTTTTATCAATATTCCAGCAATATCACGGCGGGGGACACCAGAAATGGGCTTTGTACATTGTACCCATGTCGGGAATCGAACCCGGGTCTTCGGCATGACAAGCGAACGCTTTAACCACTAGGCTACCCGACCGCCCCAAGCCATGTTTAAATTTAGCGCTATATTCGATAAACAACACTTCAGGGTACAAGGCATCCTGCATGTACATATAGCAGCCAGACAACGATGCAATACTGCTGATGCAGCTTAAATCAAGGAAGGGATATGTTTTCAGAACATTTTGTTATAATCCAGCCTGGATCTGATTGGCTGTGATTGATATTATATGCAAAGATCAATACCACTGGCGTACGATGACAAGCCATCAAAGAAAATCATCAAAAATCTTTCAGATGGAAAGGATTTCTTTGTGTCCATTACAACTAGAGTTGGCTTTGGTTTCTAGGCAATGCAATTACCTCCCTTACCTATTTCCTTATCCTGATGTTTGATTGGTGGGTAAAAGTCAAAGAAATTCAAGGGCAGGTAATTTGAATCACAAGAGGCATGTTAATGGATCCAGTGGTTTGTGCAAGTTTACCGAAATGTGAGTCCTGGAGATATAGAGGATGGTTGCTTAGCCTGGAGATATGGAGGATGGTTGCTTAGCCTGGAGATATAGAGGATGGTTGCTTAGCCTGGAGATATGGAGGATGGTTGCTTAGCCTGGAGATATGGAAGATGGTTGCTTAGCCTGGAGATATAGAAGATGGTTGCTTAGCCTGGAGATATAGAGGATGGTTGTTTAGCCTGGAGATATGGAGGATGGTTGCTTAGCCTGGAGATATGGAGGATGGTTGCTTAGCCTGGAGATATAGAGGATGGTTGCTTAGCCTGGAGATATAGAGGATGGTTGCTTAGCCTGGAGATATAGAGGATGGTTGCTTAGCCTGGAGATATGGAGGATGGTTGCTTAGCCTGTAGATATAGAGGATGGTTGCTTAGCCTGGAGATATAGAGGATGGTTGCTTAGCCTGGAGATATAGAGGATGGTTGCTTAGCCTGGAGATATAGAGGATGGTTGCTTAGCCTGTAGATATAGAGGATGGTTGCTTAGCCTGGAGATATAGAGGATGGTTGCTTAGCCTGGAGATATAGAGGATGGTTGCTTAGCCTGGAGATATAGAGGATGGTTGCTTAGCCTGGAGATATAGAGGATGGTTGCTTAGCCTGGAGATATAGAGGATGGTTGCTTAGCCTGGAGATATAGAGGATGGTTGCTTAGCCTGGAGATATGGAGGATGGTTGCTTAGCCTGGAGATATAGAGGATGGTTGCTCAGCCTGGAGATATAGAGGATGGTTGCTTAGCCTGGAGATATGGAGGATGATTGCTTAGCCTGGAGATATAGAGGATGGTTGCTTAGCCTGGAGATATAGAGGATGGTTGCTTAGCCTGGAGATATGGAGGATGGTTGCTTAGCCTGGAGATATAGAGGATGGTTGCTTAGCCTGGAGATATAGAGGATGGTTGCTTAGCCTGGAGATATGGAGGATGGTTGCTTAGCCTGGAGATATAGAGGATGGTTGCTTAGCCTGGAGATATAGAGGATGGTTGCTTAGCCTGGAGATATAGAGGATGGTTGCTTAGCCTGGAGATATAGAGGATGGTTGCTTAGCCTGGAGATATAGATCATACATCAATATTAGAATTATCACTATTATCACTGTTATGTGATAGTGTAACGGTGTCAAAGCTTACCGGCAGTAGGTTGATCCATATGGGGAGGGACACCAGTCTCTGGATCTGCTCACGGATCAGGTCAACCTCCTGTAACCATGGTATCGGTCAGAGCAGGTATTTACAGCAAGGTAAAGCAAGTTTTCACATTTATTTCTAAAACAGTGACTTACTATTAAGAATGCACAGTCCATATCTGTCCTAACCATGTCATAAATTTAACAGTTAACAGATATTTCATTGCATATTTATCTGACAACTTCAACTAAGAAGTGTCTTACAGTACAATGCAAACTCTTGGCCCCTACTGAACATGTTCAGTGAAGGAGTGAGCGAGGTTGGTATCACCACTGATACATGTGTGCAGGTGCTCTCTCTGGCAGACCCTTTATTCATACAGGTGGTCATGAGCACGGGTACCGTGCCGACAAACCCAGAAATAAGGGTGAACCGGGAATCAAACTCAGGATCATAGGTTCCTGGCATACCTAAGGGATGTAACTCTGCACAATGTTAGGAAGTAATGAAGTTTAGGTGCAATGGGGTTTAATGTCACATTCAAGATTATTGCATTTATATAGCAAAGTGTTTGTGTGTGTGTGCATGCAGCTTGTCCAATCAAAGCTGGTTTTATAGTGCTAGCTCACTGAGACGAGATACCATGCTGCAGTTGAAGTGTACCTACCAGACTGTTGAAGCAGTGGATGAGGAAGACAAGGAGAAGTGACTTCTCCTTCAGTGTGATGTCTCGCTCCTGTAGTGATGCCTCAAGCACCTGCTGGAAGTACTCAGGGAAGTGATCTGGCTTCTTCTTGAACACCTGGCAACGAGTAAAAAAGTGAAAAAAATAATGTAAAAAAATGTTACTGTTTACAAATATTGTAAACTTTCCAGTTTCTAAAAACAAATCACGCGAAAATATCCCAGCATCTCCATGATCACCACCCAAACAAATGGGCCCTGCACTGTAATCCTGTGCATGGGAGCCTACACCTCCTGATCATGTGGTTACTCCTGCCACATCATTCACTTTCTCAGAGCTAACAAGCAACAAGAGCTGTGAGTGAGTGAGTGAGTGAGATTTTACGCCGCTTTTAGCAATATTCCAGCAATATCACGGCGGGGGACACCAGAAATGAGCTTCACACATTGTACCCATGTCGGGAATCGAACCCGGGTCTTCGGCGTGACGAGCGAACGCTTTAACCACTACGCTACCCGACCGCCCAATAGAGGAGCTGTGATGTCGGGAGGGCATATAGCATGTTTGATAAGATAAGTATATAAATATACAATTTAATGTAACATTTTCACATTTTTAAACTTATCCTATCTCACACTATGCATTTATTCTATGGCTGGATGGTGGAGTCAGATACCCTAGCCATTCCTAGACTACAACCGTGAGACATACGTGGAAGCTGGTGCTAAACAGTGAGATAAATACATAATTTATAACACTGCCTGGCATCGTAAAGACAAGAATTTGTGAGCAGGAAAACACATCATAACAGGCAATATGATCCCGATACATTAGTTGGATGAACAGCATGAAATTTGGTATAACATGCGTTACATGTTTTCACGTATGACATCGTTATATGAACGACCACGTAGCTGTAAAGAACAATCTTTACAGCATACATGTATGACTTATAATCGTTCTTTGTGGCTGCCGTAGGACGTCGGATGAAGAGTCTCTTCTGGGAGCGCTGAAGTGGTCTCGCAGCCTCAAGGTAGATTCAGAGCACTCGAATCAGACATAAAGAGATTTCTTCAAGGTCATCAGGGCTCAAGATGGTGAACAGCCGATCTGGTTGTTCCGAAAGCTGATTCTACGAGATAAACTCTCAGCACAGGCCCAGAAATATCTTCCTATTTTGTAACCTCTCAAACTGGACCCCGTTAACATCCAGAGCACAGATTTCACTAACTTGCGCAGCAGTTGCAAGGGCAAGGAGAAAGACCATCTTGAAGATGATTGATCACAGATCCTTGTCAACAAGCAGTTCATATTCAGCCGAAGTCGAAGTAGGACCAAATGATGGACAGTAGCTCATCAACCGTAGATAGCTTTGATCCGGTTGTAGTAGCAATGACAGAGTTAATCACAGAAAGATCGGTAGCCAACTGGATCCTTTAAGCTTCCGGGTAGATGGAAAATGATGGAGGTAGCTGGCAATCTGTTGTGGAAAAGCAGTGGTAGGTGTTAGAGGGTCTTAGTAGAGAAATGGTGAGCCTCCGTGATAATCTTGGCTTCTCTCCTTGAATACCCTTTGTCTAAAAGGGACCTCTGTAGAGATGCAGGGCTTTGGGGCAATGGGTGGAGTAGGCTGAAGGAGAACATCGTCACGTAGTAGAGGACGTCGGAACCTTCAGGGGCACAAGTAATCTTAGAGGATCCATGTGTGCTGGAATCTTCCACAGGAAAGCAGAGAGTGTGCAGCCGATTGCGTCATCTACAAATGATCAAGGTCGCTATGCACGGGATTACAAGCGTGACCCATTTGAATGGGTGGTCCCCATGGTAATGCTGGGATGTGTTCTGGTGACTTGTTTTCAGAAGCTGGAAACTTTGTTCAAGTAAGTTTCCACAGGATAGAAAGAAAGAAGAAATGTATAGTGTGAGATAGGATAAGTTTAAAAAGGTAATATTTAGTATAGTCAGTCAAATATGTTTCCGAAAAATAGTCTCCAACCATTGTAACATAAAAGAGAATAATACATGTTCATGTTACTGTAAACACATCCTACTCAACGTTTGATAGGGACAATCAGACATGTCATTCTTTTTAATAATATGCACTTGACCTATTATGGGAATCAGTTTTGTGTATATCCCTATCAAAAGTGTAGTATAGTATACCTCCTGAATGTTAAGCAAACTTAGCATTTTAACTCTTTTCCCCACAACATCAACCACCCCAAACACACTAATGCCAAATAATATAAAGCGAACGTAAAATAATGGGTGAGTGAGTAGTGTTTTACGCCTCTTTTAGCAATATTCTAGCAATATCATGGCGGTGGACACCAGAAATGGGCTTCACACATTGTGGGGAATTGAACCATTAGGCTACCCGACCGCCCCAAGCCATGTTTAAATTTAGCTTTAAACTACTTTCATTTCGTAGTTGTGACTGTTTACTACTAAATAGAGTGACAGCACTTACCTCCCATGCCGGCACTCTCTCTCGTATCTTCTCATTCACGATGATTGCTATTGACATCATGTGGGCAGTGCTTGTCTGCAATTGCAGGGAGAAAAATCATGTAACACAGGAAATGACATCATTTGCCTTTAGAAATATACATTAAATGATAACTACATGAACATGATGTATGCAATTCATTGTTTTACTTTGATGATAAATAGCTGTGCCATATGACTATAGTTACCGTGTTCGACGTAATAAGTGCCCCGCTCTAATAAGCGCCCACGGCGATATTTGCTAATATTTTGGCAAGTGAACAATCCCAATGAGCACCCCTTCCAATTGTTTAATGTACACAATACTTATTTATTTGTGTATAATATGTGTATTATAAATTTATATGCATCCTTAATTATGGGAAATTAAATTCTGGAAAAATATATCTGTCGCATATAAACATTTCAGACTGTCAGCATAAACCACGAAATGTACAATCTTTCAACTCTGTTGTTTTTCACCAAAATAATATTCCAATAAGAGCCCCCTATTTTTAATTTTGAGAGCGCCCTGGCCGGTAATCTGTCATTTGATTCGAAATAAATATGAATATACTAAATGTCACCCATCAGGCATAGGAATGTGATAAATTCTCACCTTTTTTGGATCATAATTCGGCCAAAGGTAATTCTCCAAGTAACGACTGAAAATATAGAATTAACAAATCTGTTTAGTCAAGTAATGAAATGAGGTTGTGTTTAACTCACGGAAGTTAAATCAGCCCAGTGGCATGAACTCTGTGAGAACTATAACATTGTCTGATACTGAAGCATCGTGTAGAGCAGATTCCAAAAGACTATAGTATGTGATGCTTACCATGTCAAGTCCACTGCTTGATGTAAACTCAGTGCTCATTGCATCTCTGTTGCTTCAACAACGCCATCACTTCATTTGTTGGTTAATCAAAGAGACGACATCTTAAAGGGGCCATATGTACCAGTATTCACAGGTTATGGAGAAAAGTATGAATATAGAAACAATGAAGGATCAATGTCTCTCTTGAGTGAACTGGATTTAATGCTGCTTTGATCAGTATTCCTGTTATATCACGGTGTGTGTGGGAGGAACATCGGAGGTGACGCAGGTTTCAGATGCTTACCACTTTGGTGAAGCCCACAAGCAATACATTATAATATCATCAGGGAGAAGCGGGGGTCGAGCCCACAACTATAGGTTCCTGTGTGCCCAAGGGATGCAACTCTGCACAGCGAATTGCAGTGCCTCAGATGACTGGGCCACCAGTGCCCCGTCTTTCTTGATGATATAAATTAATAGCAATGATATAATGATGACTCACCTGAATTCTAACATCATTATCCGTCTTGTGGAAAACCTGCAAAATAATTTACAATGGTATCAATAATATTGATTTGTCATCGAGTATTACTAGCACTTGGGGGCGGTCGGGTAGCCTAGTGGTTAAAGCGTTCGCTCGTCACGCCGAAGACCCGGGTTCGATTTCCGACATGGGTACAATGTGTGAAGCCCATTTCTGGTGTCCCCCGCCGTGATATTGCTGGAATATTGCTAAAAGCGGCGTAAAACCAAACTCACTCACTCACTAGCACTTGATTGCTACCTTTAATCAATCATTCCACATGTGATCTTTACTGCATGAAAACTGTTGTGTCCTGCTTTGTTTGTTTGTTTGTTTGTTTGTTTGTTTGTTTGTTGTTTAACGCCACACTCAGCAATATTCCAGCTATATGACGGCAGTCTGTAAATAATCTGTAATAAGTCTGGACCAGACAGTCTAGTGATTGACATCATGAGCATCAATCCACACAATTGGGAAACGATGAAATGTATCAACCAAGACAGCAAGCCTGACCACCTGATCCCGTTAGTTGACTCTTAAGACAAGCATAAAGCATGGGTTGCTGAAGACGGATTATACCCCGGATCTTCACGGGTCTGTTCTATATCCCCGTGTCCTATATACTGTCACTGGATGAAATATAGTTCTCCGAGGACACACACAATTGACAATTTCATGCTGATTGAATGAATCATTAAAGTAATCAATATTGTATGTTACATATAACTGACATTTATATTCTGGTGAGAAATATACTCAAAGTTTAGAGTGACAGTGGTTGTGTTATTTCAATCAAACACTGACATCCGACATATAATAAGCTAATGGCTTCTCAGCATATGCGCTGAGATGATAAATTAAATACAACACATATGTTACTTACTTGGAGGCAACAACTTCATTTTTGTACAGATCTTCAACAATCTGGAAACAGGAAAACAGATGAAAATAACATCCATAATCATAATAATTACTTACATTGTGATAGTTTTCATTTCCTACCTTTCTCATATACTTTATGATGGAGCTCTTCCGATAGCATGAAGTGGGATTTTACAGTTTTAACAAGCTATGTGAAAATCTTAATTGAGTTAGGGGCTTTAACATATATTTATAAATGAAATGTCATGTTAGTATTTCAGTTGCAATACATGTCAGCATACATGAAGGAGCATTGCCAAATGCATTGCATGTCATACATATTTACAACCTTGGTGAAACCCACCATAATGGATCATAAACAAAATTGGATTCAAACCTATGATGAACCTGGCAGCTACATAAAAGACAATATTCTGCACATAAAAAACAATGTTAGATAAAAATGTTAACAGTTGAAGGGATATCCTTTCACAGCAGTTACCACGTCGCTATATAAGTGCAATAATCTTGGACGCGACGTTAAACCCAATTTCACCTCACCTCACAGCAGTTACCATATATGGCCTACCTGGGGTTTAAATGTTGATCCTTCCTTCAAAGCCTGTTCAATCCAGTACTGACTGGCAACCTGAAAAAACGAAGTCAAGATCGTATTATGAGGCATCTTCCCAAGGCAAAAGAGTTAACTGACTACAAAAGTCCAGTTTCCACCCTTGCCGAACTAGGCTGGTATTATGGAGTTACATTTTGGCTGGGCTAACGAGTCTATGCACAGTCCAATCAAAACCATGCACCGAAATCGAAATCCGGTTTGTAAACTGTCGTGCAGATTTCGGTCGATTGCAGGATTTGCAAAGCATGTGCACCACCAACTCGTTGACAGCAGATATTTTACAAATCTTTTCATGTTTTTAATCAAGGTTCTCACAGGATTTGATGCATTTTCGCGATGTAAGACCCATTTTATCACAATATAGATCTTGATTATCGATTAGATCGTCCTGACCGGGCGTGACCATTTGGTGTGAAGCAAACGCAAGTGATACGAGAGGTGGAATCTGATTGGTCCATAGGAGTGGCTTAGAAGGGACATAACTGGTAATAGCCACTGGTGGCGCTACGATTGAGCCCAGTAATTCCAGCTTAGTTCGGCAAGGGTGGAAACTGGACTTTTTTAAGTCAGTTAACTCTCTTGCCTTGGGAAGATGATCATGAGGTAACACTGTAAAGACTAGTGAGAAAATTACTTACATACAATGTAAATGGTACGTATTATCTAGGTCTGTGCAGAGGCTATATCTGGCCCCACATCTCCAGTACATGTCAGGAAAAATTCCCAAATTTGAACATGTTGAATTAAAAACCTTTCAAATTCACGTTAATATGGTTATAACTGATGTTATGAGTCCTAATGAAGACTTGTACTTCACTGATAATGTGGCCAATAACCATGATAAAGAGGAAGTGGCTTCTAAGCTTAGTTTTAGATTATGGAATACAACGCTGATTGGTAAAATACCTCTGAATTTAAGAAAAAAAGAACTAAACATAGATGTTTTCCCCAAATTGCCTGGTCTACTCATTGGTGACCAACTCGTGTTATTCCGGGACAAGCCGAATAGCGACTCATGCCCCCCTCAGTCCCATGGCCATTTTTTAGGCTGGGTTCCGTCTTATACCTTAAACAATTGTCAACTCGTTGCGTAATGGTTCACACATATTTCCCACAATATTATAGATATTTCAGATGAAATTTAAAGCACATAGGGACGTGCGGAAGTATACAGTGTGATTGAACACATTTAACTGTGTCTTGGGTTTGTTTTTAGATGCAAGACATATGTAAAACCAAAAATTATTTCTGAGGGATTCTTTGACGAATAACTTGAAATCATACACGCATTCTGATTGGTTTGTCATATATTCGCACATAACATTCATCGATGGGGGGACGAGTCCTCTTGCAGGTTACTGAAAGTGGCAAGTGGTGACGAATGTGTCTTCTACCAAGACTACTAACCTGCATTATAGTGTCACCCTGTATCTGTTCCACTGTCAGGGACAGACTTTTCTTCCCACTGGGAGCACTCATGATGTTAGTTTGTGTCAGTCTGCTTGATCAAAATTGAAGGAGATAAACCTGAAAATGTATCATGTTTATGACAAACATAAAAATATATCATCATTCACATATTTTGATAACAGTGGTTCAGGTTGTAATATGCTGCTTTTAGCATTGTGTTTAGCAGCATGAAAGTAATCGATTCCAGACCAGACAATCCAATGATTGATATTGTGAGCAACTATCCACGTTGTCAAAGTACAATGACACTCAATGATGACATACGACAAGGATATTGTTACTTCCATTGCTGTTAGCCTCAAACCTTGTCATACACCTGTCATTTTGGAATGTTGACTTGAAATCTGCTTTGGATCTCTCATAATTAACCAGTAGCATGTACATTGGTCATCCTTGTTCTGATATGTCGGAATAACCAGCACATTGTTATGTAACATTATCAGCATTCATGTTAGTCAACATGGTAAATACCCCAGCCATGTTCATCAGTGATTATGCATGCATGTTTGGTACATTGCTATGGTCATGTTATCTCAGACAATATTCTTGTCATCAAAGGCACCATGATGTAAAGTCAACAAGAGCTATATACATGTATGTCTAAGTTATTTATTCAGAGATATTTATAGCATGATCTCGAAAAGACTGTTAACAGCAGGCCACAGGATTTAAGACTGTTGGTACAAAATGGTACAAAATGTGGACCAACTGCTATACGACCAGTTCTACACACGACACACTGTAAATTTGGATAAACTTAAAATTCAAAATATATCTGCGAACATGCCTGACGAAATGTAAAATTCAACAATACATTTGCAGAAAAGATCGTGGACGGCGAAACAGTTTCACAAATTATACATACGATTGATTTCGCGTATGCTGATGAATTATGTTGAACAAAGCTTGAGAATAGTCATAGTTAACCGGTTTTGCTTCATAAACGTACTTCACATGTGCCGGAAGTTGATTTCCGGAAGTCAACAACTATAGCAAAGCTACAAATAAAAAGGTTTCGTATAAAGCTATCAAAGACACAGTTTCGTAACGATTCACTACCTAACTCGATGGAAAGTGAAGTAAATTGGTTAAAATTAACCAATCGTAAATATAAGCTAGGCACCTTATTATTTCGTACAGTAAACATTACCCTCAGTTGAAATTTCTCCAAGGGAAACGCAAATATGAACAGGAGGAGGCACCAGTTTAGTACTAGTTCTCAGCTAGCTTAGTAAAAGTACTTGTATCCATATCCACTCACTCTTCAATAGTCACTGAAGCATGCGTAAAATACCGTCATATATTTCCTTTCCAGATTTTCTTGTCTGGACAAAAATGTCTCCTCATTATCTATTGTGGCGAAATGTCTTCTAGAAATGCGGGTGTACAAGGGGTCTTAAAAATATACTTGATATTTTTCTTAAATAAATTCCACGCATACAACACATTTCATGTGAAACCAAAAGATAAAAACGCACTAAAAACAAATTAAAATGCATGTACTTCCCATTCAAGTATCCAGACGTCCCACGAAGCAACTACAGATAATTATCTGAACATGAAGGTTTGATAAGCAGGATGCTTCATAGAATGTTTTTTTGTTTTGGCTAGAGCGTAAACTACTATCAAACTGCCGGGTACCCACGCTTGGTGGTGACTAAAATGAAACAAACAAGGAATGGTTATTCAATTGTGATGTAAGTTTTTATAGGGGTATTATAGTTGTGTTTTAAACGCCGCTTTTAACAGTATTCCAGTTATATCACGGCGTGTAAGCTTAATGTGGGAGGAAAGCCCAAAGTGATGCAGGTCTCAGACGTTTACCACTTCGGTGAGTGAGTGAGTGAGTTTGGTTTAACGCCGCTTTTAACAGTATTCCAGTTATATCACGGCGTGTAAGCTTAATTTTGGAGGAAAGCCCAAAGTGATGCAGGTCTCAGACGTTTATCACTTCGGTGAAATCCACGAGCACGGGCATGGTGCTGATAAACCTAGAAACAGAATCGGGGCGAACCGGGATTCGAACCAACAATAGGTTTCTGGCGTGCCCAAAGGACGCAACTCTGCACAGAGAATCGCGGCGCCTTGAAGACTGGACCACCCGTGACCCATTTTCGGACTAGTAACGTTTTAATAACATTTGTATTTTGGGTCACATGCCCATTTTTCAAGTATATACTTTCTTTTGCCAGCAGTTTAATAACACGAATAAACAGAATGGAAACATCCATTAGTTACAGGACAGCGCCAATATATTATATATAACAAAGACCATGGTCTCTGATCATATTATTAAATATAACATTTGTTCAGTCCTGAGACTTATTTTTAAACCGAAGTTAGTTTCAATCTTACTGTGCCATCAAATTAGATGTATATGAAGCTATGATGGTTTTGTTATATATTTTGTTTGAATACTTTGGAAGTAGAAAAAAATAAATAAATAAAAGATGATCATCCTCTAACCCCTAGGGTACTAACTGACTCAGACTTGTATCAATTAACTTGCTTCCTTATTTTCTATATCTTATAAGGCTACAATGCAGTTAATGAATGAATGAATGAATGAATGAATATCGCCACATCAAATTGTCGGAGAAAGTTATAAATCAGGAATATAATAGGGAATGGTAATAACCTTTGTCAATTTCTCGTACTTGAAGATTATATATTTATTTTCAAACAGACAAAATTTAAAAACATTTTGCGATATAGACAATCGTATGGGACTTAAAAAAATATCACGCGCATAAAGAGAAGAGAAATATCTATAAGTGACAGAATAGCAACAAGATACCATGCCAGAGATCAGGTCTCTGATTATATGCTACAATTTAACGTATGTTCAGGCCTGAGAATTAAACTGTTTGAGGGTGGCTAAACATGAAACAAAGAATAAATAGTTCTTCGATGGTGATGTATCTGGTCTGGCTATCATAGTTTTGCTTGATAACGGTTTTAGAATCTACACCGAAACGTCGCCCAATTGTAATAAAGAAGTTGCTCATCCATAACAATTTTGTCTTAGTTACCATTCCAACTTCTAAATGCCCCTCAAAGAAGTTAAACGTATGTATTGTTTTGGTCAAATCTAATTTAAGAAAACTTTCAACATTATGGGTAAAATTGTTCTACAAGTCTTTTGTCCGGCAGTTTATTCTCGTTTATTTATAAAACGAAATTGGTTTCGATTTCACTGTGTCAAGCAATCAACTGTTTATCAACCTATGGAGTTTATTTATTACGCTTAGATACTTTCGATGAAGCAAAAACCCTTAATACATGTGCGTGGAGAAAATGAACATATTTAATTATTTATATGAAATGTTTATCGGGATATATTGCATCATTGAAACTATGTCATAGATTCGCGCTGTTGTGACTTATGTGAGATCGGTTACTGCTAATAACGGAAGAATCATGTTAATCACGTGTGTTTTGTTATCTATTTCACCTGTCACAATAGGTTACAGGTCTAATTTCGTTTGAAAACCCCATCGTCTTTCTTTGTCGTACGACAGGTGCGACGATGCGTTACAACCAATGAAAATGCTCCTGGCAAATAACGACAGCTCCTGCTGTCCAATGGTATGCGAGATAAGAAAACAGTTGCCGGTGAAACTCATAGTCGGGATCACAACCGAAGATGGCGGACAGCGAGAACTCGGTAGAAATGGAGGGACTTTTCCAGCCCCCAAACGAGCTTCAGAAAGATGCTCACGTCAAGAGCTTTGATCAGTATAAAGAAATGTACAAGAAGTCTGTGGAAGAGCCAGAAGAATTTTGGAAGGAGATTGCAAAAGAATTTTATTGGAAGTCGCCCCCCACTGGCCGATTTCTTGACTACAACTTCGACTACACACAAGGACCGATATCCATCAAATGGATGGAAGGAGCGAAAACTAACATCTGCTACAACATGCTTGACAGAAACATTGAGCGTGGTTTGGGAGACAAGATTGCATTTTACTGGTAAGACTGTCATACAGGTTTTTGGGTTCAGATGTAGCAAACTAGAGTGTCAAATAAGCCAAGTGTCAGGCCATGAAGTACATCCAAAGTTGTGACGTCACTTTGCCTTTGACGTAATCTGGTGAATATTGACGTATCTTCTATCGATGACTGAAATATTTAATGTTTTTTTCAAATGTTTGTTGAAGTGTCATGCGTGAATAAAACACGCATGACACTTCAACAAACATTTGAAATAACAGTAAATATTTCAGTGATTGCTGTGGACTGTGCAACTGAATACCAAGGTTTACAAATTTACTTTATGTTTATGTTCTACCAAAGGCGTATAGTATAGGTCTATATACGTCTTTGGTTCTAGCCTACTAAAGTACCAGGAGCATATTGCACTCATCCTGTTCACTGGCTTAACAATAATAGTATCATTATTTTGTGTGTTAACCAGATATGGCTGAAATATATTTTGCTGTAGTTACTATTTCCATGGATGCAGTAAAAATGACATATTAAATGGCCAGAATCATCAGTATTTAGTAATAGACATCTATTTCTTATTGACCCATGTCAATTAATAATATGTATGTTTGTGTACATCTACAAATTCTTGTGCCCGAATAGTGATGACATTGGAAAACATCCCTTTAAAATTTGATAATCTACTAAGAGACTAAGGGGCAAACAGGCTTTTTCAAATTTGCGTCCAACCCGTGAAGATTCCGGGGTAGAATAGGTCTTCAGCAACCCATGCTTGCCGTAAAAGGCGACTAACGGGATCGGGTGGTCAGGCTCGCTGATTTGGTTGATGCATGTAATCGATCCCAATTGCGTGGATCGATGTTCATGATGTAAATCACTGGATTGTCTGGTCCAGACTCGATTATTGTTTAGATAACATTTCAAAATTGCTGCCGGTTGTCATGTTACCGAGATGATCCAATTTAGAAAAATTAAACATACACAGAGAAGGGGTGAAATTTTGACCAGCCAGGCGGGCAATCTACTTTATGCATCAGCAAGCCTTTTGTAACTTTAACTGGCCATGGGCCAACAGGCCAGCAGTTGTGTCAACCCCTGTTGACAGAACTTGTCTCCTGGCATCATTTTGAGTAGTTTCTGATGTTATGTGATGTATATGGACTGTTAATTGCCATGCTTATCAGACAGAAAATGTTTTGGACTGTAGCTTCCAATGAGTGGCGAAGCTTACAGACAACTGCCATGACTGCTGTCTCACACAATGTGGTATCTTTTCACCATATTTGCCAAACTCAGCGTTCCCATTTACCGGTAATTACCAGTTTTAAAATTAGGCTTGGATTGGTAATTCATGTGACTGCCAGTCCCTGTTGACCGGCAAATAAAGTATCAAATACATCTTTGTTGTTGAACAAAACATTGGCGATATTCGTATAAGTATATTTTTTTAACGAAGTCAGCTTGTCTCTTACAATAAGGGTTTCCCCTTGTCTACTTTTAGTTCAAGGCTGTAACATTTCGCTTTGATTCAAGGATAAATATATTTGTAGCAACTTAGTCTCGAAAACACATGTTTTTAAAAAAAGAGAGACAATTGTAACTGTACTTTGTGTGAATGTCTGAATGACATGTAGATCTAACTACTGGTAAGTTTCTTCAGTGATGACATCATTGCAGTGAACATGATGTTGACAGAATTAAAATCATGTAATTTTCATTATTATTTTTTTATTTGTTGAAAGTTGGGACTGACATAAATTTGTGGTGACTGGTCATTTTTAGTGGACTGGGATTGGCAGTTTCAAAAGCCAGCAGGAACTCTGCAAACAAAAGTTAAGCCATCATCTCATTGGTAGCCAAGGAACTCCATGCAGTGAATCATCTAACGAAGTCCATTTGTACTGCGAGTTCATCAAAGGTTCACAATCATTGTGTTCAGTAGGGAGTACAGCTGTATTGGGCTGTCATAAGCCCATCATATGGTCAGTGATATCCCTGGATGTGATAACAGCTTGTGACATCTGTGGTATTATCCAACCAACAATTATGGGTGTTTTGAAGACAAGTCGTGTTAAGATGTTTAAAGATAACATAGGTTAGATGAGGGTGACATGTTTTGTACCTCTGTTTTGTCCTGACTGTTATCACTACCGGATGTGTCTGTCACAGTGACTCGAAATGGAAACTCGCTGAATTTTTTAAAGCATGTCATCAGCATGATCAGGTCATGGTTCATAATTCCATATTAGATTTTGTACCTATGGCACTGTTTAACATGGTTTAAATAATGACCAGTGCTTATAGCAGGAATTTATCCTGGATTCCAAACTAAGTGCCCCTGGCAAGCAAATTGGGTTAAAATTGTGATATTGTTCCAAATTTGTTTATTTTGATGTTCTTATTTTCATAAATTCTGAGGAATTTGGAAATCTTGAATTCAAATTAGTAATATTGGCTAACATTTGCTGCAGATTTGGGCCAACTATTGACCTCTTAGCTAGGGGTGACTATTGGTCTTGAAATCACTATTGCGATAACTATTGATATTGAAAGAAACTATTGCGGTAACTATTGATGCTGCAAGCAACTACATGTATTGCGATAAATATTGATAGTTTTCAATGTGTCATTTAAAAGGGATTTTAGAGTTGAATTAAACATTGGAACTGAAGTTTCCTTTGAATGTGATAACCATAACAACAAATTAAAAGTAAAGTTTGGGATATGACAGATTTGTTTTCCCGTTACCCTAATAATTTAAGAACCCTGTGTAAATTACCATGATTACTACCACTCAAAAACAAATTTGAACAGCATTGCATGTATTTTATTGATATGGTACATACAATCGAAACTATCGAAATTCCTAACTGAAATCGATACTATTGATCAGAAACTGATTTAAGAATCGATTTATTGACTTTAGGTGCTTATCAATAGCAATATATCGATATTTTGATTGATCGTGACACCCCTACTCTTAGCAGGTCTAAGTAAATCTCTGTCCAGGTACTATTAGAATTCATATTTGTTGCCTACTTTGTGACAAGGTTTATAATATGAACCAGTGACAAATGCGTTTGGCACAAGTAAAATGGACAAACAAGTGGAAAATGAGGGAAAGAAATGTGTATTTATTACAATGCACGTGTGCAACAGATGTTTAGATGTGCAATTTAAGAATACTTTTTATCCATCTTCCAATTCAGTGAAATTCATTTTATCATGAGTGATATAGTAAGCATGATAAGGAGTTGTAATTAACATTGATTAAGAATGTTTGTCATGTTCATAGTACAGATAGCTTTCATAAAACAACATTCATCGCCGGGATTATGTAACATACATTATGACAGAGTATTGACAAAATATTTATAGTCTGACCTTCAGGCATCAGGAACTTATTTCAACTTTGCGATTACAATTTTAATCCTCCATTCGCATGATCAGCACATGATGCAAGAAATTTCAAACCCTGGGATATTTGTTATCGTGGTAATTGCTTGTTCATTTTAAGTATTGTGAGTGCAAAAATAATCACTTGTTAATAGACATTATTTGCTGGTTCCAGGTTTGTTAGCAATTGTGCATGAGGCTCAATTTCAAACACTCATCCTAAAATTGTTGGTGTGCACGCCAAATATAGATCTTCTGGAGTGATTAATGATTATCATGATTATGTAGTTCATACTGTATAGCACCTCTGATGACCTTGACCACACTACAATACACCAGGTATTCAATGCCCCAGGCCTGTGTTGGTATATTGTCAGTTTGTTGACAGTGCTCTTTGACATTAAACAGTACACAACATAGGTCTGTAATGTACACATCTATCATGCTGGTTTCTGTGTGACCTGCATGAAGTGTTTACAGGGAAAGGTTGATATATAGTATATACTTATGCACTTACTATGGTACTATTCAGCTGTCTTAACCAAGGTAACTGGAGTAATTTATTTAGTCAACTTGTTTGGTAACTATCATCTTCAAAGGCAAGGGAGTTAACTGACTTTAAAAGTCCAGTTTCCACCCTTGCCGAACTAGGCTGAAATTCCTAGGCTCGATCATAGTGCCACCAGTGGTTGTTATGAGTTATGTCCCTGCTATGTCCCTCCTATGGACCAATCAGATTCCACCTCTCGTATCACTTGCATTTGTTTCAAACAAAATGGCAGTCAAGTTTTCTGATCGATAATCAAGATCTATATTGTGATGAAACAGGTCTTACATTGCGAAGTGCATCAATTCACGTGAGCACCTTGGTTAAATCATGAAAATATTTGGAAAATATCTGTTGACGAGTTGGCGGTGCACATGGTTTGCAAATCCTGCAATCGATCGAAATCTGCGTGACAGTTTACGAGGCGGGTTTCGATTTCATTGCATGCATGTTTTGATTGAACTATGCATAGACTCGTTAGTCCAGCCAAAATCTAATTCCTTAATACCACCCTAGATCGGCAAGGGTTGAAACTGGACTTTTATAGTCAGTTAGCTCTCGGGAAGATGTTTTTTTCTGGGCCATGGCTATTTATGCTAGGCTATTAGCTCAAAGCATTGACTGTAGAAGCTGCTTTGTTGGAATTGTTGCAAGAGCTGATGTTTCAGCAAATTTCCATAGTTAAGCTGAATGCTCTCACTGCCTCGTCAGCGTGGTTCTACCTTTCACCACAGGACATAAGGGGGATAGGTCTATGCTTGAAGTACTTAGTTGTGTGGTGTGGAAGAAATTGGCCACTCACTTGCAGCAATCTGTCCTTTGTCAAATCTGTTTCAAGTAGCATTGTTGTATTGTTGGAGCAGTAGTTTCTTATTTTCTTAAATAGTTTACTGTTGTGACTTGTCATTTGGCTGCTGCTTACATGGCTTCTGAAGATTTCAACAATAACATTGCTCATAAATTAAGGGTTATCAGGGGTGTAACCAGGGAAAATGAATTGTAAGCTCTTAAATGCTGTAATAGTTTGACATGGCCAAGCTGTATTGTGTTGCCTAGAAAGGATTATTAGTTTAAAAGGACC